TCATACATTACTGGTACAGAAGAAATATGTAATGTTTCAGATCACATGTTAGTTTATTGTAATATAAATTATGTTCAACCAAAAGTTAGTCCTAAATATATTCAGTGCAGAAGCTTGAAATACCTCGACCATAATTTGCTTTCAAATTTTCTGGAAACTGCTCCCTTCTATAATATCTTACTTATTGATAATATATGTGATAAGGTACAATTTTTTAATGCAATAATTATGAATATTTTTGATATATTAGCGCCTGTTAAAAAAGTAATAATTAAAAAGCAAAATCCTCCTTGGCTAACTGACAATATTAAATTAATGATGTCCTTGCGTGATAAAGCCCTTGCAAAATTTAAACGTACCAAACATGAAGAACATTGGAATTATTATAAACAGATTAAAAACCAACTAACATCGGCAATAAAAAACGAAAAAAAAGCATATTTGGAGTATTGTGCAAATAATTATCGTAACAACAGCCGGGTCCTTTGGAATAAGTTAGGCGATTTAAATATTCACAATAAACCTAAATCTAGAACCCTACCAGATAATTTAAATAAACCTGAGGAAATAAATAATCATTTATCGCAATACTCCAAATATACACCTCCAAATTTAGATCTTTTAAGTTATTACAACGCAAATTTAAAGCAAAATTTTGTAGATTTATTTAGTTTTTCCCTAACAACTGAAGATGAAATTAAAACTTGTATAAATAATATTACCACAAAATCGGTTGGATCTGATAAGTTGAGTATTGACATGATTAAATTGTGCCTGTCAACTATATTGCCTTATTTAACACACATAATAAATTCATGTCTTCTTGAAAGTTATTTTCCTGACCAATGGAAGGAATCCAGAGTAGTTCCATTGCCAAAGAAAACAGAAATAACGAATTTTAATGAGCTGCGTCCTATTTCCATTTTACCGGTACTTTCAAAGGTATTGGAAAAAATAATGAATATCCAAATTCGTAAACATCTAAATACATTTAATATACTACCGGCATTCCAATCAGGGTTTCGCCAAGGATACAGTTGCACAACTGCCCTCCTAGACGTAGTCGATGATATCATAAGAGATATTGATAAAGGTAAAACTGTTTGTCTAATTCTTCTGGATTACTCAAAGGCATTTGATACCATTAGCCACGAAATATTATATTCCATCTTGCATTATATTGGATTCTCTTATTCCTCCATTAATCTAATAAAAAGTTACTTAACTAACAGAGTCCAATATGTGCAAACTGACAAGGGTCAATCCAGAAAAACTCAAATAAAATGTGGTGTGCCGCAAGGGTCTATTCTGGGTCCATTACTTTTTAGTATATATACTTGCGAATTAACTAAATGTTTAAAATTCTGCAAAGCATTTTTATACGCAGATGATACACAGTTAATGTATTCTTTCGAACCAGACAACTTATTGTTGGCCAACTCTCGCATAAATGACGACCTAAACGCATTAGTCAAACTATCCAACAATCACCAGTTATGTATAAATTCACTAAAATCCTCAGTTCTTATATTTGGTAGGCAAAAACACTTAATCTCAAACTTGATTAAAATACAAATCGATGGAAATGATCTGACAACCAGTAAGGTGGCTAAGAACCTGGGTATCGAAATTGACTGTAATTTACGATTTGACAATTATGTTACTAATTGTCTAAAAAAGGCTTACAGTGCATTAAAAATTCTTTATCCTCACCGCCAAATATTATCACAAGAGCTTAAAATTAGATTAACTGACACTTTGGTTCTTAGCTACTTCAATTATGGTGATGTACTGTATGGTCCCTGTATAGATAAAAGAAATGTAAATCGTATACAGTACATTCAGAAATCATGTTTAAGATATATTTATGGTATAAGGAAATTTAATGCAGTATCTTACAAATTGTTAGACGCAAAATGGCTAAATATGGAAGAAAGACGAACACTTCATTCGGCAACACTGTTTCACTCCATAATAACAAGTAAAACACCACCATACTTACATAGGAAAATTCAATACCGTACCGATGTTCACAGCTTAAATTTAAGATTCAAAGGCCTAATATCCCCACCTGCTCATACAACTGCAATATTTAGACGATCCTTTTCATATAACGTTTATGCCATATACAATGACCTACCCGCACATCTTAAGACTCGGAAATTAAAACCTTTTAAATCTGCTTTAAAAAGGTTGATACTTAACAAGCTTTTGTAAAAACCACTATTTCCTGAAAAACCACTTTGTCGTTAAAACCTCTTTCTACATTAATTTTTATTTTAAAATAGTCATGGACCTATATTAATTTTGTTTATTTTGTTTTTAAATTTGTTTTGGGCTGGAATTACAATCAGATTAGTCTGCCTTCCAGTCCATTTTGTTGTATCAGATTAGTTTTGTATATTTCTCTTTATACTTTTAAAATGAAATGTATTATGTTTCTTTACAACAAATAAATTATTATTATTATTATTATTATTATTAAATGAATTTGAGATGCGTGATTTTTCTAAATTAAACAATTGCGTTGAGCGACCTCTAAATTTTAATTGATTTCTCTCAAATTTTTACAGATTTTTATTTTCTTGATACTCTTTGAAAACCCGAGTGGTCTCGCATAGAATTCAAAAAATTTTTTTTTTGCATCACCCTAATGTTCACCCAACGACCACCCAAACATCACCTATGTTTAAGGCTATTCCGTTTCTCATATGTTGAGAGTCTTGACCTTGAATCTTTCTGAAAAGCGATAAATGTTTCCAGGACAGAGAGTATCTAAGTTTTATAACCTAAAAGTCGAAGATCGTAAACTAAAATTGTGTTAGATAATTATTTTAAAAATCATTGCTGATATTTAATATATTAAATGAACTTAAAAACAACTTAGGAAAATCCACAAATTCCAAAAATACTTGGGAAAAACGTTTTATGCTGAACTAGCCAAAGCACAGATCTTCTGGCGGGGCCATTAAGTCCATCCTTATATGGAAAAGGGTAATCATAAAATATCTTAAAATATTTATTTGTTACTTATTTTTACACTCTTTCAGTGTATTGAAAATGGCAAGAAAACTACGCATTTCTCTCATGGAGACTGGCAATGTCGGGAAGCCAGTAAAACAACTTAATGACTTTAAGGATAAATTACTAGCCCTAATAGAGAAAGCGCTGTGAAAGTTAGTGGTGCAGGATAAGGTGGAGGTAATACCATCGTTGGAACTCTTCATTGACCAGCCTTTAAGGTCGGGTGGAAGGGCCCCTTCTACAATAGAGAGGCATAAAGAGAAAGTTCAACTCAAACTCTGACGAGTAGTGAAGGTGTAGAGGTTTTACAAGGTATTGATAAAACCTAAAAGATTTTAAAATTAAACCAAAAAGTTTTAGCTCCCATGTGAAGAAAAAGAGTTTTTAGATGCATATTTTTGTATTTTATTAGTTATACTTTTCTTTGACTAATATTTTGTCTATATTTTTGAGTAATAATATTACATAGATATTTTATATTTTATATTTGTTGTATTTTTTTAATAAAATAAATTTTTTCCAGTTATTTTTTTATCTACCAATATATATAGTTTTAGAGGTTGTTTTTAGGCACTCTGCCCCCCTTGTAATATATAAGTCTTGACCTCCCAAATTCTCTCTTCACACTCAGATTTTTTTTAATTTTCTGTTTTTTTCTAAATAAATATTTATTATTATTATTATGAAATTAATATTAATTATATTAAAGCAAAATTTGTATTCTGGTTTTATAATTAGGAAATACATTTTAATAATTAAAAAAATAAATCATAAACATATTTTTAAAATAAACAAAAAATAAATTTTTATTTGTTTGCTATGAAACCTTATATGATTTGTCCTATTCTCATTTATAAATAATTATTTATCATTTATAATTATAATTAATTAGATATTAATTATAAAAAAGTAATTAATCCATAATTACTATGCTTGATAATGATACTGTACTGTATACTGTACCCAACATCACCGCAATTTATGATTAATGCAAGATAAAAAACTTCAAATATTGTCTAACAGCACCTCTCAGGCAAACGTTCGTAAACATACGTTTTCAAACATCATGTATGTTCACCAAACATCGAATTTTGGAAACGGAATAGCCATTTTAACACCGATGATGTTTATAAACATGGATGTTTAAGAAATTCTTCGAGCGCATGCGTCTATAGATGAAATAATTGAAAGGGAATAGGCTCATATGTTACGAAACATATGTAGTTCATGAACATGCATGTTTAGCGAAAGGAAATAGGCCTCTTAATATCCTTGACAATGGTTTTTTCTGATGTCGATAGCTTTTTTCGTTCAAAAGATAAAAGGAGTCCCCCCTTTTAACGTGCACTCTTTATAGTTAGCAGGTACAAGTAAAGCTAAATATAAAGTTGTTTGTTGATAATGATAAAAGAAATTACTTCGATTTCCTTTATGTTTGATTGGAAAACCACTGTTCATAATTAAATTAGTCGAGAAAAGTGACCTACTTTTTCTCTATAATTTTAATACATCAAAGGAAAGTGTTCTCAATTAAATAATTTAGATAATAAGCTGAATCAATAAATATTAAAAGTTATGATGTTTATATTTTTGTGACTTGATAAAATCATTTTTTTTCCACTAAACAGCAATCGAAGGTATGGGTCTTTTAGGATGAGCAAAGAAGAAAAGTTGATTAGTCTGTATTACATTAAAACAATTAATAAAGTAAGAAAGCAAAATTATGGAAGCCATTAAGTGCTATTTATCATCTTTGCTTTTAATCTGAAAAGGCCACAAACAAGTTAAATAGGACATGAAAAATGATCCAAATTATGAGGATTTTAAATAATCGATGGAAATCAAAATAAAACCCAAACAATAAAATGTTCAAACTTTTATTACAAAACAATTGTATACATATTTACAATAAAATAATATATTGCACATGAGGCCTTCAATAAAATAAATACAATTAAATCTAAGTACATTGTTTGTAAATAAATTTAACAAGAATAAATATTTTCATCGTATTTACAAAATGGTAACTTTATATGTTCACTTCGATAAGCTGTTTATTTGCCTATACTATTATCATAAATGAACATAATTTAACGATTAATCATAATTTTTTAACAAGGGTTTACAGAACACATCATGAGCCTCTCAGTGGACCGTCTGAGAGCTGAAGGCCCAGATATGAGAAAAGCACCAGGAGCTGGTGCAAGATGAGACTGCATGTGTTGGAAACCATTCGGTTGAACAATATCTTCCGTAATCGACCTATTTCTGGATCTTCTTTGCAGAATACTTCTGCTAGGAGAAGCAGTGTTCAGATGGTATGAACCACTCTGCATTTGACGATGTTGAGCCACAGACTGCAGGGAATCTTCATAGCTGCTGAAAAAGGAAAATTCTACGTGAAATCTGAACCCCTTTACATTGTTAGTAAACTGTGTCCGTTTATGGTTCAGTTAACCTTAGCTTTTAATTAGTATAAATGGGTCGTTTTCAAAAAACACCCGCCTTTCGCTGTCCGTAAGTTTGAATTCCAATATCTTTGTTAAAAATTATCTGATCTTATTGATTTAACAACCAATTGAAAGCCTAACAAGTAAACTCTTTCAGAAAATGTTTGTTTAGTTATTTCAGAATATTTTTTTTTAATTTTGAAACTTGTGAAACACACATTTTCGCATGTCCCATTAGCGTTTTATAAAACTTACATACATGTTTTTTTTAAATATTGAATAACCAGAACTTTGTGTTACTTTATAGCAATCCATAACATCCTTAGTTAATACAGTAAACAATTTATATATAAAATAATTAATTTTAATCTACTTTTTTTAAATTTGACTCATGTCCCAGACATTTTTTCCGTTGCGTTACGTCCATCGCGTTACCGATAGAATATTAAAAAAACATATATATGGCAACTTTTTTGGAACTTACGTGATCAACAAATGATGTTCGGACGTACACATTACCCAGCTGAATTTATTTATTCAATCAGGAAGAAGATATTGGTTGAAGCAGGTGCGGGTAACGCGAATGTAATAATTGTTTGTCCGCTAAGTTACTCAAAAAAATAATAAAAATAAGGTAAGAAAAAATACTATTTTTCATATTTATGTTTATTTTGGGGCACTAAAGCTCATTGAGAGTAATTAATTAATGACTGTAATGTCTTATTATTATTTTTTAAATATGGTTTCACAAAACTTTTTCCACTGCGTTCCCGAGTCCATTACGTTACCTTATGGTAACGCAATGGAATTTAGGGTAACGCAATAAATTTTTCGACAACAAAGTGGATATTTTTCGTCGATTTTATTAAAAGTAATTTATGATAAACCAATTTAAATATTTTTGTGATTACAACTCATGATATAGATTACATCCAAGGGAAAATTCCACGCAATATACAAGTACTAAAAGACACCAGCTTATAGTCAAAGAAAAAGGGTCTCTATAATTTAGAAAACTAAGTTGTTATTCTGCAAGTGAGCACCACTACAAGGGATTTTGTTTATGCATTAATCGTACCACCCTATATAGTTTCTAGTTTCTTTTTTACGTTATCTGATTAAGTCCTTTGTGTACCCCAGTCCGTTGTGATACCAATGTCTATTTTCTTACTTTTTGCTAAAAAAAATCCTTAAAATGATTTTACTATCACTTGGTAATACGTGTTTATAAATTAGAGTTTAATTCACTAATACAGTGACTAAAAGAAAATATTAATGGTATTGTTTTTTTAACAAAGAATCTAAATGGTGTCTTTTAAAAAGTAACTTAACTAACATAAATATTTAAAAAAGGCAAACAATTTTTAATAAAAATAAAATTGGAGTCAAAAGTTTGTGAACTAAGTACTTTTTATATTTTATTGTTTCGACCTTTACTTGATGAAACTCCATGTCACTAATATATAACTGGATAAAAAACAAACACAGTTTTTGAGTTTCACGAATTTATTTAAATTTTATTTGACAATTGTTTCGCTCACACAGTAGTTTTTCAGAAATGATTTCAAACTTATCTAATAACGAACTTATATAACACAATTATTGCAGGTAATGGGTTTTATTTATAAAATATTAGTACTGTATAATTATTTTACCTGTCGAAGTTTAACAAAAGTTGTAATAAAATAATTTTGGGGATTTTCTAAACAGGGGGAAATTATTAGTTTCTATTTGATCATTTACAATAATATTAGATTTTTTAAATTTATTAATTTCCAAAGATTCCAGCAAATTTAACTTCGTAACCTTATTTTCAACATGCAAAATTTTGAAATTATTATCAAATGAATGGTTTTCTTAAATTAAATGGTTAGCAAACGTTGAATCTGTTTTTTGATTAATAAAAGATTTTCGATGTTCATTAATTCTAGTTTTAAACTTTCGGCCTGTTTGACCTATATATGTTTTGGACAATCTGGACATTGTAGTTGGTAGACTCCAGATTTCGTGTCTTTCTTAGGTTTGTCTTTGTTATTTTTTATAAATGAACTCAAATTGTTGTTGGTTTTGAATGCAATTTGTATATTATTCTTTTTGAAGAAATTCGACACATGTTTTGTCCTATTACCTAAGTATGTGACAATGTTATATGTAGCTGTAGGGTTTTTTAGTGTTGGAAATAAGTTTGAAATCATTTCTGAAGAAGTGTTAGCGAAACAATTGTCAAATAAAATTTAAATAAACACTGTTTTTGAGTTTCACGAATTTATTTAAATTTTATTTGACAATAATTGTTTATATATTAGTGAACTAAGTAAATTTTATTTCAAATTATTTTTATAACAACTTTTTTTATTGAATTAAATTTTGGATTTCAAATTGGTAACACAGTGGAGACATATAAATAAAGCTAGCTAAACACATTTTTCTAAAAAAACCGTAAAAAAAAATTAAAAAGTGTCTTAAATGTAAGTAAACAAAACTCTAAACATTTATAAAAATACAACCAAAAGTCAATTCAAGCAAAAAAAATTTGATCTTCATTTTCCTGAAAGCGGGTGTTTCTTGAAAATGACCCAAATATGGTAGATTTATCGTTTAGATTTAGTTTCACTTTGCTTCTGTAGATGGCAACATCGTTGGCGAAAAGTACCTTAAGCACTTTTTAAGTTAACACAGCTACAATAAATGTACTCGTGGCTTTAGAAAATGGTTGATTCTTAGTCCAAGTGCACTAGACCAAAAAAACTTACTTGCTGCTGGCCGAAGAAGACTGGCTGCTGGACTGCCCGCACTGGCAGTGCACTACGCCACCGTCCGCAATACCGGAGTCGTGACCGCTGGAGTGCACGGACGCGATGGACTTCTCCATGCATCCGGTGCTCCTGGAGCGCTCCCTAAACCCGGGTCTCATCCCGGCCACCCTGGGACAGCTGCTGGCGTGCCTCAGCGGGTATCCAGAAGGCGGACTCAGGTCCAGAGCTGCAGCTGCGCGCGGATAGTCCCCGTACGTCGACGGGTACAGCGTGGACTTCGAGAGGGCGCCAGAAGCTATCGTGTAACTCATCGGTTGTTGCGATAAAGTCTTCTGTAGCAATCTAGTGCATGCAAACGGTGGTTTACTACAGGCTACGCCACGGCTTTTTACATTACATGCTTTTTTCTCTTGAGATTTTTGGTCAAGTATCATGGGGTTATGTGTTGGAAGAATATAAAGAAGGTAGGAAGTAAAGGGTGATCCAATTAGTGCTTTAGGATTTTAAAGTGAAATTTAAAGCTTCCACAACTAAATACTGAAGCATTACATTTGTACGAGTTAATTTACTGGGCGACAGAAAAGGTGACTGAACCACCTATGACTATAAAATACGATGACAGAAATTACCGATATGATTTCTTCGGGTGACCATTTCCTATACTTCCAAAAATTTTCGTGTCACACCCAAGCAGTGTAACGCTGTGTAAAACTGGTTATAACCAGTATACTGAATCTTCAGTCTCGGTTTGTGGATCGGAAGCAAGAGATGGTTTCATCAGAACAAGAATTAAAGTCAGAAAATAATTACCAAATTTTGATACCAAATGTCAGTATTTTCGCGAAAAAGAAGATCTCATTTCTACCAATAAACACTTCTGAACTTACTTAAAGCATATGATTTACTATTAAATATGTTTACGTTTCATGTTAATTTTACTAAAATAAACTTTTTATTTATAAATATTGCTATTTTTATTACTTTGATTAAAGTAATATTTTTTTGAAATTTTTAAAACATCGACACAGATGCGCCACCTCAAGATATTAAAAAATTGGAATATTTTTTCGATATTTATTTATTTTACGCCTTTAGTCAACAATTAATAATATAGGAAAAATCAATTAATAAATAAAAAAAAATTTACTCCACCCTATTGTACAGTGTGTAGTTTTGTAGGTTAGGTTATTACAAAACAACATGGAACATTTAACACCAGAACAACGTTGCGAGATTATTAAAATTTATTATCAAAACCAAAGCTCTGTAAAGGCAACTTGGCGCGGATTACGTGCACGATATGGTCCACATCAACGACCAAGTGAACAAGCAATTCGTAATGTTGTGAAGAAATTTGAAAATGAGTTTGCATTGTTGAATAATTCAAGAACAAATCGTGTCAGAAATGTGAGAAATGCAGACAATGTTGAAGCTGTAAGACAAAGTGTTCAAAATAATCCAAATTTGTCTGTTAGACGTCGTTCTTAGCAATTGGACCTTACATATGGATCAACCTGGAGGATTTTACAAAATTCAATTGGTTCAAGAATTAAAGCCCAATGATCATCGTTGTCGCCGTAATTTCGCTGCTTGGGCGATCGAACATTTGACTGAAGAACCGTTTTTTCATCTTACTGTAATGTTCAGCGATGAGGCTCACTTTTTTTTAAACGGCCATGTTAATAAGCAGAACTGCAGAATTTGAGGTGAGGAGAATCCTCATGCATATAAAGAAACGCCGTTGCATCCAGAAAAGGTTACAGTGTGGTGTGCCATCCATGCGCGTGGAATCATTGGGCCTTATTTCTTCGAGAATGCCCAAGGAGAGCGTGTTACGGTAAACGGAGTTCGTTATCGGGCAATGTTGAACGACTATTTCTTGCCAATTGTTATTGAAAACCAACTGGAACAATTGTGGTTCCAACAGGACGGCGCTACGTGCCACACCGCCAACGAAACCGTGGAGTTATTGCAAGAGCACTTTGGTGAAAAAGTTATTTCAAGAAATGGCCCTGTAACTTATCCAGCAAGATCTTGTGATTTAACGCCGTGTGATTTCTTCCTGTGGGGTTATGTGAAGTCAAAGGTCTACGCTAACAATCCAAGTACAATTGAGGATTTAAAAACCAACATCAGAAATGTTATTCGTGAGGTACCGGTCCAAATGTGTGAAAACGTAGATAATGTTAAATTGGACTATTCGAATGCGCTATTGTCAACAAAGTCCTGGAGGACATTTGACCGATATTATTTACAAAACATAATAATTATTGTAATTAGTTAGTCTTTCAAATAAAAACAAAATACTTTGGCCTTGCAACAATGTTTGTGTTTTATTTTGTTTTAAAATCCTAAAGCACTAATTGGATCACCCTTTATAAGGGAATAGGTAACATTAAATGAATAATAAAAATAATAAAAAGCACCTTCCCTCATTTTTTTATCCCTGGCGAAAATAAAGCGTGCATGAAAAGTGTGCAATAAGTGTGTATTTGGAGTGCAAGTCTTTATAACAATGTGCATGTGGTAATTTCACACTTTTTGAAATAATTAGGTTTTTTCACTCTTTATGTACATTTATGTCACGCTTATATTACATTATATTTTAGCACATTGTTTGCACAGTGTTAGTACATTGTTTAAAGACATTTTGCAAAGCTTCAGTCTTACGCATGTCACATTTTATACACACTGTTAGCACGCTTTAATATTTCTCATTTATGACGCTTATATTACACCTTTTTATAGCACATTGTTTGTACAGTTTTAGCGATCACTCAACAGTTTAAGCACATTTTAGATATATCTCGCTTGAGTTGGGGTACAACATTTATTTAAAAGGTGAGGTAGATTCCATCTTATGTATCGCTTCTCGGCCTATTGCTAAGATCAAAGCAATCCCCTTCGTGGAGTTGACAGTGCAGGTATTTTTCTTAATAAAATACAGTTTGTACTACAAACTTTGTAGGACCTACATTGTGGGTATTTTTTTTTTAATTTTTTTGAAAAAAATATTTATTTGAGTAATATAATTATAGGGATATTTATATTTCAATTATGTGTAAATTTAAGACTTTATAGGTCACCAAAAAGAATCTGTTTTTGTAATAGGCACACAGGTGGCAAGAAACAGTGTGCAAACAATGTGAAAAATCAAAAGGAGTTCCCTTTAGAACATTGTCCACATTGTTTTATGTTCCATTTCCCACCCTCCGCACATCATTTTTTTAAAAGATTGCACATTGTTGGCACATTGTTCTCAAATAATGTAGCACACTTTTTGCACATTTCATTTTCGCCAGGGATCATCCAATATAGCCTTTAAAAATGGTAAAAAGAGAAAAAAAATAACAGTAGGATGAAACCCATTGGAAAAGGAGGGGAATATAATAAAAATTAAAGGAAAAATAAATTACGGGCAATCTGAGTTCGAGAAGTGGGAGGGGGGGGTTTAAGGGTAAAAAATGGTTTATCTCGATTTCCGGAAAAACTACAAGTCCTATGGAAAAAAGTTAAATGTCTAAGTTGTAGGTAATAAAAAGATCTACAACTTTTGTATTTACAATTTTTTCACAAAAAATTTTTTTCCACGAAATTTGGTGAAAACTTACCTTTTTATGTCCCAAATACACTGTAATTTATTTGATTTGAAATATTTATTATTTCGCCTTATTTTGACTTAATATCAAAAAAGCACCCTAATTTTCAATCGAAAATTCTCGCGTCAAAATGTCAGCTTTTTTCAAAAAGTCGGTGTGCTTTTTGTTCGATGAACTCTCTACTTTCTGATGGTGTAAAAAAATATATACATTACTATGGTAAATGTTCTCAGAAAATACAAAAAATATTATAATGAATAACGTAATCAGAATGAAGTATCTAAATTCAATAGTATGATTTACATGTATTTTTATATTTTATGAGATTTTCTGACATAAATGTTATTAGAATTTAATAAATAAACTTTTTAACTAAAAAAAATTGCAACAATCACATTTTTTTTATGAAATTGTACATAATGATTAAAATAAATTTTCGAATTCGAGTTTTTTTCGTTATTCATTATAATATTTTTTGCATTTTCTGAGAACATTTACCATAGTAATGTATATTTTTTTACACCATCAGAAAGTAGAGATTTCAACGAACAAAAAGCACACCGACTTTTTGAAAAAAGCTTATATTTTGACGCGGGAATTTTCGATTGAAAATTAGGGTGCTTTTTTGATATTAAGACAAAATAAGGCGAAATAATAAATATTTCAAATCAAATAAATTACAGTGTATTTGGGACATAGTAAGTTTTCACCAAATTTCGTGAAAAAAAAATTTTTTTTTTAAAAGATAAAAATAAAAAAGCAAAAACTTGGTTTTTTGAATTTTTCACATAAATTTTGAGGTTATGTAAAAAAATTGTAATTACAAAAGTTGTAGATCCTTTTTTTACCTACAACTTTGCCATTTAACTTTTTTCCATAGGACTTGTTGTTTTGCCGGAAATCGAGATAAACCATTTTTTAACCTTAAACCCCCCTTTCCCACTTCCCGAAGTCAGATCGCCCGTAATTTATTTTTCCTTTCATTTTTATTATATTCTTCTCCTTTTCCAATGGGTTTCATCCTACTGTTATTTTTTTTGGTTTCAAAAATTATCGACCCTGGTCTAATTGTTCTCAAATAGTTTTGCACACTTTTTGCACATTTCATTTTCGCCAGGGATCATTCAATACCGCCACCTACTTTCTGCTATCCGTATAATTTACCTGCGCTTCCTTCTACGGACGCAAAGTACGCACACCGCAGTTGCTAGCGCCCCCACGAACACCACGCATCCCAGCACTATGACTCCAGCTTCGAGGGTTGAAAGGAGGCCGCGCTGACTTTTGCCTGCGGTCCGCTCGATGAGACCGCTCGCAACCGCCAGGACTCGAGGTCCTTCCAGCTTGCGTTCTATCTCGTTGTGCTTGGTCTGAAGCACCCTGAAACAATTATAATTATACGGTGCAAACAAGTTTTGTTTCTAAATTGTTTCATTGTTCAGTTTTTCAAAATGTACCATAATGCATTAGTCAAGACCCACTCTATAGTCGATAGGGTTCAAACATCTTTGCCCCAAAATACAGGAAAGACCCTGATCGTAGAAGTCATAACCAAAGTTTCCAAGGTCCACCATTTAAATCATTCTTTAGAACATAAAGTACATCTGTTTGTACATGCCATGTACAAACAGATGTACTACATGGTAGTATTGATTTTATATTGCAAAGGACCAGCTGATGAAATTTTCAACAGCCCTGTTGTAGTGAAGCACATATTGAAAATCTGATGTAAATTTTTAATTTGCAATAAATGTTATTGAGTCAATCCAAATGAAAACACCAAAAATAAATTTAAAAGTGCGCTGCATGATTTTTTATTTTAATGAAAAAATTTGAGGATGATCTTTTAGGTATCATATATGAAAAACCGTTGCCGTTTTAATTTTTAGTTGCTTTATCTTTAATCGGCACCCTTTAGAAACCTGAAATCGTGTCATTTTCTTACTCTCTTATAAAAGGCTAAAACTTTTTTTCTGTGGCAATTATTGAAATGATTGTAATTTTATTTTACTGCCCAGTAAGTATGTTTGCAATATTAATTATTATTATCTAATTAGTTCATCTCATAAAAGAATGGTAAGCCACTAAAGATTTGTAATAATTTGCCAATTTTTGTGATTTTTGTCTGGCTCCTGTGCCTATTCTGCTAAATCTAGAAAGTTGCTTTTTTTCAGGTATCAAGTACTTATACAATAGAAAACGTAACTATTATTTTAAGTTTCTATACTATCATTTTCTTTATTAAAAAAATTATTGAATCTTGATAATTTCCAAAATTAGCCAATTTTGCCCTCAGAAATCATTATGTTGAGGAAAAAATAAAAATCTGAAACTTTCAGGAAATGGAGTCCCCACCTTCATCTTTTCAGTCTAGTTACTCTTGTTTTGTTATTTTTATCCATGTAAAAGATATAATAATTTTAGTTTTAGTCAATTCATGTTTGGTAGAGAAATGTCAGAACTGTCAAAAATATTTCATAAATATTATTTGTGCGTATTTAAATTGTGATTTCAAAAAGTTTGCAAGTTTGCAAGTGTAATAAATGACGGAGTGTTCGAAATTCATGAATTTAATTGCAATTAAAAATGCAAGAACATATCATAATTTTGTACCTCTTTCTTATAGAAAATATTCAAGTTCTGAGAAGTTTTAAATTGTTAAAAATAAGCAAAAACTAAAATATATTCTAAATAAACCCCTTTATTATAACATGTTTTATTTTAACCAGTTACCTAAAAACTAAAATTTAAAGAAGTATTTACAGATTATGTAAATTGTTTTCCAACACTAACATTTAAAATACATACATATAACTTTTAACTATTTAGTGCCTTACAAAAGGGATCAAAATAATAGAACAAGACTAACTTGGTTTAAATTGTGAAAGAAACCGACAAAAAACTGCTTAACGCATTTTTATACGTTTAAATTAACTCTTTATTAATTTCACTTATTATACTTAACGATATAAATCATAAGGATCTTGAATATATTGTTTACATTCTTCTTCTTTAAACACCAATTAGCCAATTAAATATTTCATTATTATGTATATAATATATAATCATATACATAAAATATAACATAAGTACCAAATATATCAGAACTGTCAAAAATATTTCATAATTATTATTTGTGGTATTCCTTTGGTGATTTTTAAAAGTCTTATATATAACATAATATGACATATTATGTTATATACAAAATTTACCAAAGAAATACGCACAAATAATATTTATGAAATATTTTTAACAGTTCTGACACTTCTCCACCAAACATGAAAGCCATCTAAATTTTAAATTATAAATAAAACTAACAATATCGCTACTAAACGGGGCATTAAAAAAATTAATATATCTTTTAAAGGAATAAAAATAACAAAACAAGACTAACTGGACTGAAAAGATGAAGGTGGGGACTACATTTCCTAAAAGTTTTAGATTTTTATTTTTTCCTCAACATAATGATTGACTAATTTTAAGAATTATCAAGTTTCAATAATTTTTTTAATAAAGAAAATGATAGCCTAGAAACTTAAAATAATAGCTACGTTTTCTATTGTATAAGTACTTGATCCCTGAAAAAAAAATAACTTTCTAGATTTAGTAGAATAGGCACAGGAGCCAGAAAAAAATCACAAAAATTGGCAAATTATCATGAATTTTTAGTAGTTTACCATTCTTTTATGAGGTTCACTAATTGGACAATAATAATTTTTATCAAACACACTTACTGAACAGTAAAACAAAATTAAAATCATTTCAATATTTGTCACAGAAAAAAAGTTTTGGCCCACTATAAGAGAGTAAGAAATTGACACGATTTCAGATTTCTAAAGGGTGCCGATTAAAAGTAAAGAATCCAAAAATTAAAACGGCAACGTTTGATACCTAAAAGGTCATCCTCAATTTTTTTATCAAAATAAAAAATCAAGCAGCGCATCCCATTTGGTGTTTTTATTTGGAATGACTCTATTGTTTTAGTAAAGTTTATTAGATGAAGTTGAATCTTTAAATAACACCCAGAAATGACGATTAATAAATAAAAAAAATAATAAATAAACAAAATACTTACTTTTGTAATTGATCCATATCTACGACGGTGTTAAGTATTGGGTCTACTGCATATAAATACATATCAGTCCTAAAAAATATTTTCTCATTAAATAAAAGAATAATTTAAAACAAATTAAAAATTGTTTAAATTTGTTGTTTCTATAAGAAGTCCTACCTTCATGCTGTATTGTATAAATCGTAACGCTTTTTCAAGTTTTACTTGCAATTTTAGCGACAATCTTAATGTAGAAACCGTTTAGATATAAAACGTATTTTTTATCATACTCGTACAAAGTTTATTGTAGTTTGTGCCCTCTAGCGTACAAGTACGAGGTTTATACATAAAAAAATGAAGAGATTTATGCCTGGATAAATACATACATATATATAAGGATATTTTTTAGGATTGATAAAAAAACATTGAGACTCAGTGGCGGCTCGTCAGGGTAGGCCTCTGCGTCTATTTGTCGCTGCTTGAGGCTGTTTTTATGCAAGTGTAAACATATTTAATAGTTTACCAACTGATATTAACAACTTAAATCTACTTAAGAAGAAATTGTTTGACTATTTTTGTGATCTAGAGCCATACTCCTTTCAGGATTTGTTTTTACATTGAATGTATTTTTTCTTTTTTGTAGATATAATTGTAGGTTCTCTTGTAATTTTATGTGCAAATTTTTGAAAATAAACTGAAATTATTATTATATTATTATTATTATTTATAAACTAAGCCAATTCTGTTGGCATTGTATTTTATTCGTCTGCGTCAAAAACAATTGGAGTTCAGGGTGTGGGTATTCCGATTGCCCTGATATTTTATTTATTTTATAGGTATATTTTAAGTTCCAGATATACATTTTAAAAATTTTAAAAACGAATAAATATTTCCTACTGAACTTTATAAAAAAATAAATAAAACCCCATATATATTTTTACTTACGCGCTACTATCAATTTGATTCCTTTCGAGATGTGGTTCTAATTTGCGTATTCTAATATCAAAACCAGTGGCATTGCATAAAGCCCTAAAAGTACAAAAAATCAATTAAAACAAAAGAAAACAAAAATAACCAAAATTTAAAATAATGCTTACATTGTTATATTATCAACGCTTTTCTCCACGGCAGTGGGTGCAAGGCCTACCACCATAACCAGTTGCTTGTCTTCATCCAATACGTATACCTAGTAATATTACATTTATCCACAAGTAAGATTTTCTCAAACGGATATACAGTGACCGGCATTCGTTAAAACATGTGCCTTTTTCCCCAAAAAATTCCTTGAACACGTCGATTTTGCTTTTTAATTCCGCACATTTTGATGAAATTTTTTTATATTTACCGCCATTTTTGCAGAAGCTATGACGTTATCAGCCGTTTTTTAATTGTACCCACTTTATTTTCTGATTCAAATAGATTATGAAATTCTGATTTCAGCAATATGCACATGTATACCTTTTGGGATAATAGTTATGGGTATTATTAAATGTAAAGTTCGTGATTTAAAAATTTCCAAAAAAAATTTTTATCTTCATGACAAATTATTTTAAAAATTCTTTTAATGGATACATTAACGAATTAAATCTTAAAATTGCTCCTCGCTGGTTTTTTGACAGTAAGCAAGCCTATAAAAGCTTAGTGTTAACTCAACAAACTAAAATTCACACTATCTACAAGGGTATACAAAATTTGGCTTTAAAAATATTTAATAAATTACCGGAAAATTTAAAATCCCTTAATCTAAAATAATGAAGCCTGCCCTCACGTTGGTACATTTGGCGTTTTCAACTTAAAAAATATATAATCTTCCAAACATTTTTTTTTTAAATAGTGATATTATTAGCTTTACTTTGCAAGAAAAATTAAAATTGCGTATGTAGCCGTTGTGAAGATATACACTTAAATGTATTTTTTTATAAATTAATTTGCAACATTAAGCTTAGTCTCTGTGTATCGCCTCTTTTATTGAGGTTTTTTGGTCATTTTCCTATTTCAATGGCTTCACGAATGGTACGTTTGGTTCTGTATTTGATGCTAGCCAAGACCCTTGTTTTTTCAAAGTCCATTTCCCAATATCGCCAGCAATAGCCAACTTATTCATGGAAGACATAGAAGTACGAGCAATCGAAACGGCAAAATCAAAGTTATGGCTACGGTACGTAAAAGACACATTTGTCATCTGGACCCACGGAGAAGAGAAACTGAAGAAATTCCTGGACCAGAATTCCCAAAAAGATTAAGTTCACAATGGAAACCGAGAAAAAACACCAATTACCTTTTCTGGATGTCTTCATAATCAAGATAAATAATGGCACACGCCCAGTCTCACCACCACCCGTCACAACTGCAGTCAATCATTAAGACACTAAGTCACGCGAAAGGCTGGCGGATGATGACCACAAGAAACAAGAAGACCTGAAATTTCAAACGACGCTACAGCAAAACGGATTCTCCAAAACCATCATCAAAAAGGCTCTTAGACCACGACGCCGGTTAAATACCACAGAGGACGAGAACAATAAACCAACTTCGAAGGCCTTCCTTCCCTACGTGAAAGGGACAACCGAGAGAATAGGCAAAGTTCTCAAAAAACATAACATTTACCGCCACAAGAAAGATCGGTCAAATACTTCCAAACGCCAAACCAAAATAGAGTTAGAGGCACAAGGGGTGTACGAAACTCCTTGTAATAATTGTGACGGAAGGTACGTTGGACAGACCAATAGACGTATCAACGTTAGACGTGAAGAACATCGAAACGCAGTCTTAAAACATCTTTCTTAGCTGAACACGTCCGAAAAACTTTCCATGAAATTGACTTTGAAAAACCAAGGGTCTTGGCTAGCATCGAACACAGGACCAAGAAACCTCAGCACAAGAGACGATACACAGAGACTACCAACTGCATAAAAACCAGCTCTTACAACCACCAAAACGCCACGCAAATTAACGATATCAATGTTCTGCTTTAGGTTTTCACGGGCGTTATATGTATTGATGGTTTTCCGGCATCTGCTCTGTGTTGTCGGTTTATGGTTCTTAAAAGAACCGTATGTCTGACGACGTTTCGGTACAATCTCATGTACCCTCTTATCTGCTGGGCTGCTGTTGTTGCTCTGCTGCTTTAGATTTCCATTGGCGTTATATGTATGAACTTGTAGCAGAGCAGCAACAGCATCCCAGCAGATAAGACCTGAAGATGGTACATGAGATTGTACCGAAACGTCGTCAGACATACGGTTCTTTTAAGAACCAAAAACTGACAACTCGGAGCAGATCCCGGAAAACCATCAATATATATATATATATATATATATATATATATATATATATATATATAGGTATATATATATATTTATTATTAAATATATATATAGCCAATTGCTGTGGACATTTTCACTAGAACACATGTTAAGCTTATTGTTGCGCATTAATTTATAAAAAAAATACATTTAAGTGTATATCTCCACAACGGCTACATACGCGATTTTAATTTTTCTTACAAAGTAAAGCTAATCATATTACTATTTAAAAAAAAAATGTTTGGATGATTATATATTTTTTAAGTTGAAAACGCCAAATGTACCAACGTGACCTAAAGGCATATCTTGTAAATAAGTGTGATTATAGTGTTGACGAATTTACAAAAAAAGAACAGTGCAAAATGTGCGTAATTGAAAAACAAATTCGACCTGTTTAAGGAATTTGTTCACTGTATGAGTTGCAATGGTTTTTATGTGATCCTTTTAAGAACCTCTTACTCGTAATTAAAACTTAATGTTAAAGTTCTTACAAAGACATTTGCAATCGATGATTTTCCATCGTCGGCTCCTCTTCGGTCCGTAGCCTTCACATCGAAACCAAAAACTTTTCCGGCATCTCCACTAAAGCTCGATACACCGCGAACTTGACCAGTGATAGGGTCAATGGCAAATCTTCGGCTTGTTTCGTCCGTCCTGCTTAGTATTTGGTAACGAACCTCACCGTTCAATCCCAAATCCAAATCTCTTGCCTTGGTTAAAAGAAAGATGGTCAATAAACACCCTTATAAGAAAATTATTTGCTTGAATTAATATGTCCTTTTTAAAGACGAATATTTGTATCCCTTAATTAGAAAATAAATAAAAAAAAACCGTCTAGTCGAGTAATACTTGCAAGAGCTTTCTGATTTATTTGTCATAAGCACTTTAAAAGCTAAACTAAACTAAGTGAGGGAAATTTGATACGTGCATTCAGCGACAATTAAGTTTTTTAAGTAAATCTCTATTTACTCCTCAAGTTAAAAAAATGAACATGAAAAATATACAGGGTGGTGCAACGAAAACGAAATAGAAGTTTTCAGGTAGTTCACAGCAAACGGAAAAATATAGAACTGTATAGGATGACCAAACGTTTGAATACTAAATTTATCAGAACTGTATTGAATCGTGCTTTGTTTTTATATTTTTCGCCTCTATACCTATGCACGGCTATAGTTAAAGGATTCCTATTCTATTCGGAGACTCAAGCTTTTCGAATTTTACTGGGAATGATTTTAGGTAATGTACCCGAGAATTATACAAAAACAGCGCAATGCAATATCGCAACGGTTTCTACTTTTCTTTACTCTACCAAGTTATAGAAATTGAAGTCTCTCTAATACTGTTCTAGTCAATATTTCTGAGAGTATAAAAAGAGGGTGTAATTCAATATTGCAAGAAGTTTTGATGTTTTGATGGAAGCAAGTACCTATATTGAATATTCTCATTTCTGCATATGATTTTGTTGAAAAAAGTTTCTTTCTTTGGTTCCTTTGTCTGATTTTTATTTACCGTAACAACTCAGGTATGTAAAGCACATAGGATATGATGTAAAGTTTATTTATGTACACAGTAAAAATTTTGCCCGTGTAAATTTTTTAGTGTAGGGGTAAAAATATTAGAGTTGATTTGTAAGTGTAAAAGTTACACTACAAAATACACTAGGTAGCATTTAGTGCTTATTAACTTTATTGAACACATTTTAAGAATATGAACATTATTCATTGGTACATTCACACTATTTATTATTAAAATAAATCAAAAGGGTAGAAAAACTTAATGCGACTGTTTATTACCCCTTAATGTGTTTAATAGTCACAAAATGTACACTACAGTGCATGCCAATTTCTTCTGACTGTTTTGATGTTACTAAGAGCTCTTTTTTCTTTACACTACTAGTGCACATTGTATCACAATTAAAGTTAAATTACACCATTAGTGGCAAAATAGACTGAAAAAGCTGGTAATAACCGAAATGCGTTTTAAAATGTTTGGTTGGTACCTATCTACCTACGCAGTGCATATCCGGAGATACCGCGTTGTCGAAGTGTGGCATTTTTGTTCAGTTAGATCTTAATTATGGTGAATCCATAAGGGGACATTCTTATTTTTTGGTAAGTCCTTTTTCTTTAAGCCTTAATACTCAATAAATACCAATATGTTAAAAGGATGTCCATACCCGACCTATATTATATATCAATAATTTACGGCAGTAGGTCGGGTACTTGTAACATTAATAATATAAATACATACACACTTGATTTACTTTTTATTTTCAAGCGTAATAATTGTTATATTAACCTATACCTACATTTTTATTAATATTATGGAAATTTCGTTCACGTGTGGTAAATCCCCGACATACAGCCGCCTGACGCCTCTACCAATGGGATCACCCATTTTTTATATAAATGAAAAATGGATTACTGATAAATTCCCAAGATAATTCATTGCTTACAAGTTAACAGCCAGTAAAACATTCTATTGATCTAAAACTTTTACGTTTTAAGGAACCATTTTGCTTATAAAATTATATTTTAAAAGGCACCGATTTTGATAATTGTCATAGATTTTTGTTCCAAATAAATGTTTCTCTTTATTTACCTTTTCATTTTATTTACTACCACCAATAGGTTTTACCCAAATAATAGTGTTAATTTACAATAGAAGTTTGCACTAAAAGAGTAAAAGTACACAGAGAAAAGTAATCTCTTGATTTTACTATATCTGTCTTGACTCAAATAAATTATTTATTTCGATATGATACAAGAAGATATTTATTTAGTGGAAAACTTGGGTTTATTTGACTTTTTAAACTGATGGTTTGTTTAATACAAGTAAATATTTAGTTGACTTTTTATCTTACTTAAAGAAACAAAACATTTACTTGTATCAATTCTATTATTTTGTTAAAATAAGATATTATATGCTTGTATTAACATTTGATAAAACTAAATCCCTACAACCTATATCCAAACAATTTAATTAATTGCTCTAAATAAATATTTCTTTACAATTAATCACAACAATAAGTTGTTTTCAAGAAACTCATGATTTACAACCAAATAATAGTATTTTCTTATTGTAAACAAGAAGTTACTACGAATAAGACAATTTTACTTCATACAAGAAAAACTGTTTCAAATAAATGCATTTTCTTAAATCAAGAGATTACTTTTCTCTGTGTACCTTTCTAAATTTAGAACTTTTCCAAAGTAGTCATAATTTACACTGAACAAAAGTGGGATTTTACCCAGGAAGTGTAGAAGTACACGATTTTAGGTACACACTTTTTAATACAGTGTAAAATTACTTTATCCTACACTATAGCTTAAATCATACTTGCTTACTGGGGAAAAATTACACTACAAATTAACTCTAATTATAGTGTTATAAAACAACACTATTTAGTGTGGACCTGTGTGAACTCTAATTAGTGTTGCTTAGAGTTGATTTTTTTTTACTGTGTATTATATAAAGTACCTATATTTGGATTAAAATTTTTAGAGGTTATGTTAAAAAAATGTTCGATATGCTATTAAACTTTAATAATTTAGTAATGAGGTCTGTTGGTAGACCCTGCACTATCCCCACTGGTATATGTTAGTACAGCAATATTTAAATCTGGTTGATGAAAAAGTACACACCAGTGCAGGTTATTGTAGCATCTACGAACAAATGAATTAATGGCCCATTGGCAATTATTCCTTTACTAAAAATATTCAACAACTTAATTAATTAATAAAATGAAAAAAATCACAATCATGTCGTATATAGTTTTTTTAAGCATAAAATTTTAATATTAATACTAGTTCAAAAGTCAAATAACGACCTCTATACTGTGGAGAGTATTGAAACGCTCGACTGACGAATACAACTCTATACCGTGGCTAGGGTTTAGAAAAGTGTATTCAAACGTGGCGTCATCCAATACACTTTTATATTTTTCCGTTTGCTGTGTAGGTAATAAACAAGTCACTAGGGCAAATGATACCTCATTCAAAAGTTTTCGTTGAGCCAGCTTGTATTTAACAAGCAGTGCGAGACTGAGCAAACTGTAAATTAAATGAGAATATCAACTAGATAAATGAATTTTGGAAGTTGTACTTCTCAGCGAATGAGTATTTTACGCTTAAATGAGTTCATACCTGCAGTCGTATAACGTGATAGCCGTAATTAGCCGTAGTTGGAACAGCAGCTACAATAGGCCTTCCAGCTATTGTGAACTTTGGAACATTATCATTTAAGTCTGTCACTCTAACAATAACTTTTACCTCGTTTAAACCTAAAAGTAAAATAATTAAGTTCTTGCATTACACCATTTTTAAAAATTTGAATATAAAAATCACTTTTTAATCCAAAGAGATATGAAAACATCATAATTTCAGATAAGCTTGATTTAAAAGGCCCACATTACAGGTATCGCTAAGTATCCAAAGAAAATGTGAACGTTGTTTTTACATCAAAGTCCAAAACTGCATTTTTTAAAATTAAATACGCTTATATGTAGTTTATAATAATATTTAAAAGCAATATTTCTTAATCCTGGGGTGATATTTTAATGCCACCACCACATTTTTTAATGAAATACGAGGTGTGTTCAGAAAATATCGGGAATTTTCGTTTTTTGAAACAAATATTTATTTATTCGTCCACATTAATGTTGTCGCCTTCTAAAACTCGATCTTTGGGATAGCCTTTAGCCGCTAAGGTTAGACGTGTTTTATGAGCTCGGCGATTTATGTTCGTTAAAAGAAATGGATCAAAGAATTTGTATCCTATTTTGCTTAAAAAATGAAATAAATTCTGTGAAATGTTAACAAAGGCCTATAGTGAGTCTGCTATAAATAAAACAAGAGTTTAAAAGTGGTATAAGAGTTTCCAAGATGGCCGTGAAGACGTTGAAGATGACGAACGCCCCGAACGCACAAGCACATTAACAACCGATAAAAACATGGAAAAAGTGGAAGAAATGGTTATAAACCATCAGAGAAGTCGCTGACGATGTTGGTATATCGATTGGCTCATCCCATGAAATTTTTTCGAATGTTTTGGGTATGAAACGTGTGGCACCAAAATTTTTTTGGCCAAAAACAATACTGTAATGATGCCCCAGCCTCCATATTCGCCAGACATGCCTCTGTCTGACTTTTTCCTATTCCCAAAAATAAAGAGAACCTTAAAGGGCCGTCGTTTTGCAAGCATAGATAACATTAAAAGCGCATCGCTGAAAGAACTAAAGGCTATACCAAAGATCGAGTTTTAGAAGTGTTTCGAGTGTTGGAAGAAGAGCTGGCACATGTGCATAATATCCAATGGGGACTATTTTGAAGGCGACAACATTAATGTAGACGAATAAATAAATATTTGTTTCAAAAAACGAAAAAAAATCAGTCACGTTCGAGTGTTCGTCAAAGTTAGTCGCATCTTACATCTTGCCGTCGCGCTCTTGAAACTTACAAACAGCAATGCTCGCGACTCGCGTGCGGGAGATCTCTTGAAACGTAAAAGTTTAAAGATGAAACCAACAATAATTTAAAAAAAAAAGGGGTGCGAACTGATAAGTGAAACAAACATTTTCATGGAGTGCAAGCTAAAATGGTGTAACGGTCATTGAGGAGCGGAGTGTTGGGTGATATGAATGACTTGGGTGCCACCTGTCATTGGAGGCTTATCACTGGACGGACGGGGGAGGTCGGAGAAGAGGGGAGGTGGCCATCCGCAAGGGGAAAAATCTGATAAGTTTTACTTTAAGAGTATGCATGACCTGATACAAATCTGCAATATAAATACGGCAGATCCCAACAAGCATTTTCCGTTATTTGACACCATTAACATTGCCCGTATTCATTTCATTAAACATAACATTTATTTTACTTGAAAATGTTAAAATGACTTTAAAAATGATTATGTTAAGAACATATTTTACTCTTTAAACAATTGTTTTGTTTTAATTACTATCATTGCAAAATTGTATTAAAAAGTGTTAAAAATTCTTACACGGGCAATGTTAGTGGGGATAGGTATCGTTAAAGTGTTTATTGGGATATCTTTAAAACCTAAGAAGGGCACGCAGCGTGGGGCAATAAGTCTGTCAACAGCAACTGCGTAAGGCGGTCCCAATCGAGCCGGAAAATAAACACTGGACTGACAGAGTAAACTAACATTGAACAAAATTCTAACACATTAAAAAAAGGGCCTAATAGCCAAACTCGAGTTTGTAAACATTAGACAACAGAATAATTGCGCTTGTGATTTGTTTGACTAGTGAATAAATGCAATGCTTTGGAATTTGATAAACAAAGGCGGAACTCTACCACAAAACGTGCTTGGGACAAAAATTATTAAAAACAACTGACACACTTTACCAAGGGCAGGAACTATCTGACCAGGACACGGACAATGACAATAACGAACAAGACAAAGACATCGACTAGGAAACTACACCCCTGCAGCGAAATAACAACTCCCTAACTCCAAATAGTGATCCCAAATGTTTGGAGTAATACTAATCGACTGGTCTAGGGGGATTCCGCGTCGTACTTAGTTTTAAGTCGGCGTAATTGTCCCCCAAAAACCAACTCCCTCCCGTCCCTCATCCATACCCCACCGAGCGTATAGCATAGGCTCGGCGAACCCGGGAATGGCTATTATAACTATTCGCCTCTCGCTCTCGAGCCCCAAATAGGGGACAGTACGTAACGCAATGGACATTCGCACCCAGCAAACACGGGTGAAGCCGTGCAGTTGCTGGGGAAGAACAAAAATCGGCGTAAGTAAACATAGGCCTGTACGGGGTTCGAGAGTCAAGAGGAAATGGGGCTGGTTATACGTCTCTTATACTCATACTCATACTCAAAAACGAAAATTCCCGGTATTTTCTGAACACACCTCGTATATGCCATCTTCAGTGCATAAAATTTTAAGCATTTTTATTTGCCAATCGGCCAATTATCGGAGGAGGCTCAGGAGGCTAGGAACAAGGAATAAATATTCTAGAGAACATCATACTCGAAAAATATCAAGAACTACAACAAATGAAGACTTGCTTCATAGACTTCTATAAAAAAAAGAATATTTAGATTCTACATATATAGAACTGTTATTATAAGTTTATTTACTGCAGACAAAATATTCTTTGGAGTATATTTTTATGAGCAATAAATGTGTATTATTTCTTTTCCAAGCCACAGATTTATAGTCAAACGAATAATGCCATATGTATTATAATTATCTTATTAAATAATTTAAAAAAATAAATTTATTGTTAACAATAAACAAGTTAAATATTTTTGATTATAAATAAATAAGATTTCAAGTTAATAAATCTGATCAATTATGTACTTTTACAAAATTTTGATATTTAAACCCTTATACAATCGCCGTCACTGATTAAATTCAAATTTGGAAAGAATAAAGAAAAATATATATAAAACTTGTGTTAAAATTTCACGAATTATTTTTGATACCACGGAAAGAAATTTTGGATACAATTAATCCAGTAAGGTAGTATTACAATTAAATTTTTGATCAATATAGCGCCAATCCAAAATTAGACTAATATCAATAATTCATTCGATTGAATTATTTGCTAGGCTTAAATGTATCAAACCCTGATAAATAGCAGCAAATAGGTTTTATAAATCACTACAAAATTTAGAATAATTATAGTGAAAATTAAATTAAATTCGCCTACGATTTTGTAGAATCCACATATTTTCTTAAATTTACCAATTCTTGGATTCAATTAAGCACTTTTTAGGTCAGTTTAATCTATTTTTTTAATTAATTTTAATGTGTATAAGATAATATTTGCTATAACTTGATTGATTATAGAAAAATATCTAATAGTAGTTATAAAAAATTTGGCAAAATTAAGAATAATTAGGATAAAGTGTATCATATCATTTGATTGATTCGTGCAAAATTGATCTAAATAGTTAGTAAAAAATATATTACAGATTTAATCAAAATATTAGCTTGATTTTAGCTGACTTAATAATTCAGTCAAATATTGGATAATCGTCAATCAAAAATTGGATAGAATTAGTTTTATATTTAATTAACGTTAGTACACATTTCATAGATCTTTTTCTAAAATTCAGTAAATTTTTCTAATAATTCAATCTAGACAGGATTATTTTAATTATTATTATTATTTTATTGTTTTTATTTCAAATACATGTTTAAATTAAAATAATCCTGTCTAGATTAAATTTTAAGAAAAATTTACTAAATTTTAGAAAAAGACCTATAAAATGTGTACCTTGGGATGGTCGTTAAAAATTAAATTTTTTGCTACGCCCCTAAAAAGCTTTGTTTTGATAAAAAAACACTGGGCTATTTTATTTTTTTTTTAATTAAAAACAACACGTGCCTCAAGACGATCTAAGTTAATTTTTTGGTATAATAATGTCTTTTCTGAAAATATGTAATAATAATTTTTTTGAGGTTTAAAAATTATTAACAATGAAATAACTTCACCTTGGAGAGAAGAAATTAAGATATTAAAATTACGTTTGTACTAATTTAGTTTTAAAATAAAAATATCAATTTGAATATCTTTCATTTTTTTATTTAATAGACTGGGAAAAATTTTCAATTTAAATTTTTGTCTCTTGTTATTTCGATTAACTATTGTTTTTTTATTGATTTGGGTTCTTTAATTGTTTATATCTCGAATAAAATTTTAATTTTCATAAAAAATCCCAAAAAAAACATGATTAGGTATACCAAAAAATTAACTTAGATCGTCTTGAGGCAAGTGTGGTTTTTAATTTAAAAAAAATCTGTTTTTTTCATCAAAAAGAAGCTTTTTAGGGGGCGTCGCAAAAAATTTAATTTTTAACGACCACCCTAGTGTACCTACTAACATTAATCAAATATAAAACTAATTCTATCAAAATTTTGATACTACTTACTAATACTAGTAAAAATAAAGTTAAATCCATTTAGTTTTTAATAAAATAAGTATTATTTGATGAAATTAATCCAAATTGGAATATAATAATAAAATCCAAGAGTTGATCTTATCTATCTTTTCTTTGAAAATTAAACAACGTTACATAAAGCCAATTTTAATCTTTGATGGTTTAAGAAAAACTTTTATCTCCACGCGGTCTATAATTTAAACTTTATTGTTGTCAACATTCGATAAAGAAATACCTTGTTATGGCCTAGGCCGATAAAAATTTTTATGAGGCAACTAATTAGTTCGATTTTTTCTCGATAGGGGTATTGTTTTGACAAATTAATCCTTTTCTAAGAAAATAAGGTACTAAACTGGTTTAATTTATTTATAATAAGCACTAATTTGTTTGTTTTACTGTTAATGTTTAATATTTTTCATTAAATTATTGTAAAATTAAATATGAATAATAAAACAAAAAGTGAGGTTAGGCAACCAAGAAAACGCACGATTCTTTTTCTACGATTTAAATTATCTTTAAGTTTTAATTTGCTTTAAGTGAAATTAAATGTTAAACATAGCTTAAACATCCCAAACTACCTATTTTTTAAATAAAAATCAAAACAAATTGAAATTAGATACCTACCTATTTATTAAACAATTAATTGAATTCAATGTAATCGGCCATTCCAAGCCCATGGACAGGACACATCAGAAACATGTCTAAATATATTCTTGTTACTTCCTTAAGTTTACTTATTTTTTCTACGAGTATTTATGAGAAGTATTAGCCAAATTTGGCTAATACTTCTCATAAATACTCGTAGAAAAAATTTGGCTAATACTTCTCATAAATACTCGTAGAAAAAATAAGTAAACTTAAGGAAGTAACAAGAATATATTTAGACATGTTTCTGATGTGTCCTGTCCATGGGCTTGGAATGGCCGTAATAGCAAAAATCCATTTCTACTTAAATCATGTTGATAGGTATTGTCAAACTATTACTGCTTCTAAAAGCAATAATAATTATAGTACATTTAATGTAATCTTTAGCTAATAAATAAATAAGATTCTAAAAAAGTGAGGTTAGGCCGCTTTGACCTATATAAAGTGCTCCGCTACGCGTCGCGACGCGTCGGCCTTCAAACCTTGAGCTTAGCACAAAAAGCCTTACTTCTTAACCTAATGACATAAATAACTATTTTCTACTCCTATTAAGGAATTTGATCCTTCTACTATCACTTTTATCTATGGAATGACATATATTCTGTAAAGTGTTACAGAATTAAATATTCCATCATCTGATGACAGAATAAACACCCGTGGCGACATCTCTGTTTTTAATATCTAACAAATTTTAGACCGATCCAACCTCACTTTCTTCCAATTAAATTATTTTTCTATGGTATTTTTTGGAAACGTAGAAAAAGTATAGTCTGGAACACGTTTGGAATTGCATATTCCGCTCTCGTGAAACCGTCACTCGCCTTCGGCTCGTGTGACAAACTCTTCATTCGAGCGGAATATGCTGTATTCCAAACTTGTTACAGAATATACTATTCTGTGATCAATCTTAACTTTGCTGTTCCTAGAAAAAAATGTATGCGATTTAGCACCTAAACGATAAGGTCTATCTAATGATTTAATTTTAATTTGATGGTATTAATCATTTGCGAAATGTACAGATTTATCAGTTTTTTTCTAAATAGGACTTAATGGTCCCTTAAGTAAATATGGTTTTATAAGGGTATATAATAATAGGCGGTTTTAAAAGTAGGTTTTGTTGTGCCTAATAAAGCTTTCTATTAAAGTAATAAGAACAATTAACCCAAACCTCTTTTCAGCAGGGCCGAGCCAACCCAGGGTGCAAAGGGTGCACTGCGCCCGGGCGGGAACTATTAAGCGGCGCACATACGTAGATTTAATTAATTTAGGCGGCCAAAAGTAAAACAATCAAAATAAATCTAGCAATTACACATTGACTACCACGGGTAGCAAACACTTTTAGGAACAGTACCCTACCCTTTCTATGCGTTGCAGCGCTCTGACTCACAGGTAGTTAAAGTTTGATAGTCGCTGTCACCAGCTTTCACGTATGTTCTCAGCGCAGCGCTCCTAGCGTAACGTCTCTTGCAAAGTAAATATTTTTCTCTCCAAGTAAATTATCAAAGTAAAACTGATGGATTCTAATAATTCAGGTATGTATCTATAAATTGTGATATAATACTTCCTATTTAAATATAGATTCAAACATTTTTTAATTATTTAAATACAACAGGTTTTTCATGCAAAATTTTGGCAAATCGAAGATTTATAAACATTTCTAACATACTTCAGGGTTCGTCCCTAATATTTTTTCTATTTTAATAAATTTGACATGGTCTTAACATATTATTACAGAAAAAATCAACCGCGGAATCTCGCAGATGTCCACAAAAACGTAAATCAAAGATTTTTAAGGAAAATTTAAAAATAATACACAAAAAATGGACTTGTACTGTTCCTAATCTCACCGATTCAATTGTAATTATTAAATGATGTATGTACACTTATACTAGAAGATACAATGTAATTAGATAAGTATATTGCTGCTGTTTTAATAACGAAATTAGAATTTGCATTTATGTAATACTAGTATAGCTTCTTTTTTTTCATAGTTTTATTAAATAATATTGAATTTTAAAAAGAATATTTTTTTATATTTTAAACTCTATTAAAACCCTATTTCGAACATGTCTGAACTAAACGGCATTTTAGAAAATATTTGTACAGTACATGGTCTACACCTTTATCTGACAAAATAAGGTTAATGCTAGTAGAAAAGGTTAACCTACTAAATAAGAAAACAACTTATTGTTTCCCATGTAAGTTATTTGGAAATGCATCTAGTTCTTTGGGGCTACATGGAAAGTTCTAATGATCATATTAAATGTTGCAACAAAATGATTCAATCACAAACTTTATTAAAGTGTGGCTCAACAATAGATTATTTACAGGAAAAACTAATTAACAGTGAACAGAAAAGATGGTGTTCTGTTTTAGAAAGAATTATATCGGTTGTTAAATTTTTAGCTAACCAAAACCTAGCTTTTTTTTTAACACTGCTTTTCAGTATTATAAAGCTTTGATATTTTGGTAAAAGCCAAGATTCACATGTGTTACTTGGGACACCTTTTATGTGGGCCTTTTGCGACAGAATGTGTGTTGTTTTATTTACCTATATTTCCCAGTCTTTCGTTCGTAACAGGATAGATCATCACGGTCATATCCCGGCCGACTTTGTACTGATCCAAGCGTATAATCAACTCGTAGAGTGCCTTTTTCTCTCGATCCGGACTCTTGGTGATGTACAACGACCCGTTTCTCGCATCGATTTTGAAAGTCTTCTTTACGTCGCTGTCATCATCGGCTACGATGCTGTAACGCAACTTGTGCGATCTGTAGGACTCGGTAACGTTTAGGGTGAGCAGTTTGAGGGGCGTGGGGACGTTCTCCTCCACCTCGACTTCGTAGTAGCGGTGCGCGAAAACCGGATGCTCGATTGTTTTTATGTCTTCCGGGACGTCTATTACGTTCACGATCAGGAGAGCCGTGGAACTGAGACTAGGCGATCCTAAGTCGGAGGCGATAATTGTCACGTTGTGCGATTTTTCGGTCTCGTAGTCAAGTTTCCCGATTGTAGTTACAACCCCTTCCTTCGAATCGATCGAGAACAAGCTTTGTTTGTGCTTTTTATTGTAGGGGATGTCGAAGAGAATGAGTCCATTGCCGTTTCCGGTAAAATCTGAGTCGTTAGCGAAGACTCGGGTAATTGGTGTTCCGATCGGACTATTCTCGGCGGCATTGGCGTAATACACAGGAATTTTGTCTTGATAGTTGTGATTATTTTGCAAATTCACAACAACCACGTCATCATAACCATAGAAAGTGGGCGGGTTATCGTTTACATCCAAAACATTCACCTCAACGTTGACGGAGCTATTGAGACTCGCTCCTTTTATTGGATTGTCTTTGGCAATCACCACGAAGGAATACTTATCCTTGGTTTCCCTATCCAGAACCCCTTTGACGCTCAAAATTCCCGTCGAGGATATAACGAAGGGAATATTCTTCGCATCGTTAGACTTAACACTGTACGAGATGTTTGAATTGTGACCGAAATCCACATCCATCGCCTCTATTTTACCGATAACCTTCTTCGAATAGGTGGCTTCCTCCGCGTCAAAGTTATAACCAGACTTCTTGAACACCGGTGGATGATTGTTGACGTCCTTCACCAGAATCCTCACCGATATGTTATCCTTTAGACCTTCCTTATCACTCGCGGATATGTTGAGTCTAAACTCGCTTTCCGGGGGTAATATTCTCGCGATGCCAACCTCACCTGTTGTGGTGTGTATCATGAAGTATTGCACTATGTGGAATGGTTCGGCGGAAGCCTCGTGCGGTATAAACGTTTCCGAAATCATTTCGTATTTGATGACGGCGTTCTCGGCATCGTCCCTATCCTCAGCGATCAGTTTTACGAAGTTCGTACCTACGTTGGCGTCTTCCGCTAGCGATATGAGAGGCGACACTTTTTCTCTAACGCGTCTCGATCTTAAGTAGGCTTGCGTTAGGACGTACACGTCATCCGAACTGTTTTTGAAAGGCTCAAAGTGACCGACTCGGTTACCGGATTTGTCGTACTCCAACACACTGGCGCCTTTTTCTTTGTTTATTATCAATTGCGTGATTACCGGTGGATTATCGTTCTCATCCTCTATTTTGATTTGTAGTTTCGCCTCGCTATATAAACCACCTTTATCTTTGGCCACTAAGCGAAGGTGAAAGGAATCCGATTCCTCTCTATCCAACGGGGTATCGGCGCTCAAAAAGAATATTTTTCCGGTGGTTTTATCCAATCTGAACAGATCGCTTCCGTTACCGAATATGGTGACGGTAAACATGCCGTTGTTCCCTTCGTCTTTATCGTTCACGTGCACCGAATAGTTTAGGTCGACTTCAGTTCCAGACTTACAGTTCTCCTTGATTTTTCCCTCGTATTTCATGCGTTCGAATAAAGGTTTGTTGTCGTTTTCATCGTCGACGTACACCGTAACTTGATAGATACCCGTTCCGCTGATAGAGCCCTTGTTGTACTCGGCTATGATGGTAAGCCTGTACACGTCGCGTGATTCTCTATCTAATGGTTGCTGGGTGTACAGTGTCCCATCGCTCGTTATGGATATCACATCAGTGACGTCTTTCTGATTGGCTATTGAGAAACGTAACGCGTTCGTCGACGCGTTTTTGAAACCTAATTTCCCTATGAGCACGTTGGGTTGGTTCTCCTTGACGTGGAATTCGATTGGGGATGTGCCGGTCCTGAAATTAGAAAATTGCAAAATATTATTTTTGTTCTACACTGAAAAAAATTATCTCACTTTAATTTTACTTTTGTAGTAGTAAAGTGACTTGGACTAACTACAACAGGGACAATGTTATTAGGATTAATATTAAATGAGAGATACATCCCTGATAGCACAGTTTATGTTTATGTTTTTTAAACCTTCCAGTGGGAATATTCTCAGGATCATGCTATATTTCTTCTAGTCATGTTCTAAGAATGTTTTTTAAACCTTCCAGTGAGAATATTCTTAGGATCATGCTATATTTCTTCTAAAGAACATGCTTAAAAGAAATATAGCATAATCCTAAGAAAATTCTCACTGGCCTATAGGCAGGTTCTTAGAAGGTGCAAAGTTTAGTGGTAAAAATTAATCCACTCTAAACATATCCTTAGAATGTTGAGAAAGTAATTGCTATAGAAAGTTCATTTAGGAATATTCCTGGAACATTCTGTTAAGCATATTCAGTTCAGTTAGGTAGTAAAATATACCATAATCTACGTATAAAGGTACCTTACTTAGTATTAAATACTAAGTAAAAAACACAACCCAAAATATTTTTTTATAGTTATTTGTCAAATTAAAACAATATTCGATAACAATAGTAGATTATGTCATAAGGAGTAGAAGTGACTCTTTTTGTGGTGAGTACAGAGATTGACGGCCGAAGCGTAGCTGAGGCTGGCAACTGTACGAAGCACAAAAAGAGCTTCTACTCCAAATAACATATACAATTTTTTTTTCAAGGGCGTAATATAAATAGGATAAGAAATAGAATTATTTTATCTACTCATAACTCATGTGGTATAAAATTTTGGCTAAAAGCATTAGAAATTATTGATAAAAACTAAAAAAAACTTATAACCCTTATTTACAATGCCGATAAATATCCTTAACGTTCTTAAAATATTCTTAGACTGCTTTTTAAGAAGGTTTTAAGAAGCTTCTAAGAATCTAATTGCATCATTAAAAGGGTATCTATTGAATGTTTTAAAAGTCCCTAAGAACATTCTTAGCAATAAGGGAAGGTTCTAAGAATATTCCATTATTCCGGGTCATATCTTCTTAGAAGATTCTTAGAATCAAATTTTGCTATCAGGGATACCACTACGAAATGGTATTAAATTAAATTTACCACTACTATAAGTGGCACGGATTATAACAAAATATTTAAAAATTGTACAATTCTGCGTCATGGTTAATTTTACCATTACAACTGGTTCGTAATAAATAGCTTACCACTACAAATAGTAATTTTTTGACGTTTACCACTACTTGGGTTAATACTAATAATGTTATAATTAATGAAATTTGGTACGAATGAAGGGGCAAAATTTGGCCATTTAGTGGTTATCTGTTTACGGCTTTACATAGTGCGTAGTTTTGTGATATTATACTGTTTTTATCGTGTTGTGAGTAGGAATGGAACAGTTATTAAAGGGCTGGGATATTGTGGAACTACTCCCCATTTTAACCGGTTCAGATCGTAAAACGCATTTTACCTATAGGTATTATAATATTGATTTTTGGGGGTTAGGTAGGTACCTACTTATAACTCGTTTTCTTGTTTTAAAGTAATACCCAAAGATAATACACCCCATTATCTAATGTATATGTTAACGGTAAGGTTTTTACTTCTTATATTTACTAGGCAGTGTGCGCAACACTTAAATAAATAATTTTATTTTAATAAAGAATGTTTTTAATATAATTGTCATTTATTTACTACATTACCGTGCTGTTGAGAAAACCTAATTATAGGGGTAAGTGGAATGAATAATACAAATTAAACAATGATTTTGTCCAAGGTTCGCCTTACTGTTATATCCTGTTTTAAAAACTATTTTAAGTTGCTGAAATAATATAGTAAGCGTACCATATACCAAAATGTAGTCCTAAGTTTCAACAGTGTGTAGTGGTAAAAGCTTTTAATAGAACGGTTATTATATAACAACATGTAGTGGTAAAATTTAATTAAAGCAGTAGTGGTAACGATCACTTTGCTGTAATGTCAATTCGTAACAATAACTCATTACCATTCTTTAATGGTAGCAACTTTAATGGTAGCAACTATACTGCCCTACTATGGAGAAAGGCAGTAACTACAAAAAAATTCTAAATACGTTTTCTTGTGCCATGATAAAACTATGGACATTTTGTATCTTAATTCAACAAAGAAATGAAGTAAACTATCTCATAAGTTAAATAAATCAATTAAATACCTACTGCTTTTTATAAAAATGCAGTTTATGCTAATTTTCCACAAATTTCTTGTTTAGCAGTTACTGCCTTTCTCCATAGTTGGGCAGTATAGTTATAAGGTTTTACTGGTTGGCGCCTATTTTACCATAACCATGGGTACCGCTGACCGATTTTTTTTTTTTTAGTTTTATGCAATAACTTACTTCATCAAAACCGTTTTTTCATCTTTTGGATCAACAATGTGTATGGTAACATTTGTGGCCAAATTAACGTCTTTTTCATTGGCGACAACTGCTTCAAAATCGAAGTTAAGCCTGTTAAACTTTTCCAATTCTTCAATCACTGTTATGGTGCCAGTTTTTTCTTCAACGGCAAACGGCACTAAAATCAACCAAATCAAAGTATAAGGTAGTGCTTCAAAAAACTTAATTAAGTACCTCCTTCATGATAGCTATGCAAAAGATCATACATAACAGGAGTTCGGTCATCATTGATCCGTATTTGACCAACACTGGTACCAACATCAACATTTCCACCGACCCAGAATTCGTATGGGGCTCCAACAAACGCTAACACATCCTTATGACCTATAACACAGTACGACATTATTTTATAAAAAATAAAAGACCAAATAAATGGACAATCATCAAGCTACATTTTAAAATTATTTTAATTATATACAGGATGTTGCACATTTACGAAATACTCGTTCGTGGTCCATTGAAAGTTTCAGGGGGACGGCAAAAGAAATCGATTTGAAATTTTTATAGCGTTTATAATCCAATTAAGCCTATTTTTCTAAAATAGTTTACTCTCTAAAAATAAAATAGTCAAAATTCTACTATTTGAATTAGTACCAGCATTTTTTACTAATAAAATAGTCGTTTTCACTTTTAAATAGTTATTTTTTACCATGTAAATAGTTAAAGTTTGACTAATTTAAGATTAGTCACCATATTTGACTATTTCTGACAGTTAAAAGTAACTAATTTCTTTAATCGTTTACGGCCAACAACAAAGTATTATTTGAATTAAATGCATATACCTCTCCTTGGTTAAATGACCCATAAAACAAATAAAGATGCAAAAAGTTTAGCTCAAAACAGCAACACAAATAATATATTAAACTTTAAAATATTATGAACAATATTTATTGACAAATAAAATTGATTTTTATAAGAGCGGCTGACAGCCGAATGCGTTATGAGGTTAGCTTGACAAACTTGTCAAGTGACAGACCTGAGTTCAATCCCAGGCTGGGTCAAAACTTTTTTAAATTTAAATTTACTAATTTGACTATTTCATTCAGTGGAATTTGACTAATTATTAGTGACTGCTTTTTCGCTATGACAATTAGTCAAATATGACTTATAATTAGTTATTTTTGACTAATTCATTTTAAGAGAGTAAACAAAATGCCACTTTATGACCATATCTTATATAGACATGGATGCCTTCAGAAATTAAAAATTGTGTCAGAAGTGGAAGTGGACGTGTTTTCCTTTTCTCAATAAATAATAGTCGCAGTTTAATTAAAAATGTATCTTTGTATCTTAACACACCTAGTTACTTAAAATTTGTTACTAGTTACAGTTATTAATTTATAACTGGATAAAAAACAAAGACTGTTTTTGAGTTTCACGAATTTATTTAAATTGTATTTGACTATTGTTTCGCTAACACTGTAGCTTCTTCAGAAATTTCTGAAGAAGCTAGTGTTAGCGAAACAATTGTCAAATAAAATTTAAATAAATTCGTGAAACTCAAAAACAGTGTTTGTTATTTATCCAGCTATATATTAGTGACATGGAGTTTCATCAAGTAAAGGTCGAAACAATAAAATAGTTACAGTTATAGTTACTAGATTGGGATAAGTAACTATAGTTATCTGTTTGTGTAACTATAGTTACACAAACAGATACATAAAAAGTATCTAGATACTGTATCTAGTTACTTGTAACTAGATACTGTATCTAGTTACTTGTAACTAGATACGTTACAACACTGATTACGTGGTAATCATAGATACCGTCAACTCACCCATCACAGGTTTCTTGATAAAAAATAATATTTAAAATTTTAGAAATTGTTAAATATCTCAGAAATTATTAACTTTAGGTATAGGGAATAGTTACATTAATCAAACGGTTTTTTAATTTGCTATTCGATTAGGTAAAAACATAGGTTCAAAATAAAAAAGTTAACGTTTCAAGGTAGCCCAATTTGCCCTGGGTTTTCTCGGATAATTTGTTGAAGAATGTTAAGAATTGACATGAAATTTTTTAAACAATGTTTTAATATTCCAAAAATTATTTACTTTAGGTATAGGACATGGTATAGTAATTTTAGTCAGAATTTTATGTAGAATTTAAAAATGTAAAAATATATGGAGAGTTCTATTTGAAATAACAAAGTTGATGTCAATTTCGGTCAAACCGCATTTTGTTCAAAATATTTTAAAGTAAAAGACTTTAATGGATTATAAACGCTTTTAAATTTCAAATCAATATTTTTTATGTTCCCCAGAAACTTTCAATGGACCACGAATGTGAAACACCCTGTATATCAAGTGGTGTTTTGTAAGTTGTGATACCAATATAGATTCTAAAGCAATGTATAATCGGCAAACCAAAAGACCAAGATTTGTTTGCAACATACATTTATTGAATAAAAGATAAATACAAATCTGATTTCGTGAAACGGTAAGACACGGGTACGTTTTTTTAACCTTTATTTTTAAATCTGTTAAAATGTGTAATAAATAGTACATTATTTTATAAGGAGCTAAAGTGTCACTTTTTCAATATATAATTTTTGAATGAGGCCAACATAAATAAAACTCAAAATGTAGCTGGCATTTGTTGATTTGTATTTTTAAACAAAACGTATAATTAACATATACTTACCACTGGTAAGTATATCGTGGGTTGAATATTATATTGTTCTAATAGAATAAAACTAATTTTTTGAAAATCAAGTTTTCAAATTTCGAATATTAATATTATTGAAGTTTGTAAAGATATTTTGTACTTAACGCGAGTAAGCTAGTGCATAGTGCTTAGTGCACTTAATTTTAGTATTTTGGTTAACTAAAAATGTTAATAATAATAATAATAATAATCAAACAATTGCTAATAGAACATTTTTGTTTTATTATTTTTCAAAATTTTACAAAACGTTCCAAAATGTTCTAACAGTATAGGGTGAAAAATCGAAAAGATAATTCCAAAAAAAACAAGGCTTAATTAATACCAATTATTTATGATAACTCAACTCAACAACTAATTATTGTCTTTTTTTCTCATTTGCAAATACAGCAGCATTATTAAGTTGTTTAAAAAAAGTTTTTTAAAAATTATATCAACAGGCGGCATAAACTTAAATAATTTGGTTAGATCAGCAACTTTAGCAAAAGACATGAGACATTTTTTTAGTTCAGGTGCATTGCGAATATCTGGTATCAATCAACATTGGTGAAAATACATCGCCATACTCAGGTCTAAAAACAAAACACAAACCAATACAAAATTATAAAAAAGTAGATTAGGATTTTCCTATATTACCACATTTTGCATGTGATTTCAAAGTTGCTTCATTTGAATCTAAAGCCACATAATCTGGATCTGCACAGGAATTATCACTATCTTCAAAGTATTCAATTTGATGCACAAAATGATTATTTTCGAATACGTCTAAACTTGTTGAACAACAACTAAAAAATATAGTTTGAAAAAAAGTTCTAAAAGCATGTTTTAAAGCAAACAAATTCGTAGAAATAAGCTAATAAGTTTTATTTGGGTATTTTATAACTATTTTATTATAATATTGTATTTTTGAACTTACAGAATCATTTATTTTTAAATAAAATAATCACTTAAATCACCAAAAGCCTACGACGTAATTCCTTAAACTGCCAATTTAATTGAATGGTTTGTTAGAACATTATAATAGTTAATTATATTTGAATTTTGCACATAGAACAAAATAATAATGTCGTTTTTAGTATTTCTGGGCTATATTTAACAGTGATACTTATTTAGATATATAGATATTCGTTAAACCTTCATTTTCATGTAAAAATTTCATTTTCCGCCAAAATTGCTGATAGAACAATATAATATTCAACCCGCGATATGATAATTAATCAACATAAATGACATCTAGTGCTCAAAAAATATTTTAAATGAAAGATAAAGTAGGTGCCTATCCATCCAAACATGAACTTTATTGATCGCCTCTTTTAGTGAAAGGAACAAGACATAGATGGCACGGTTGTGAGTTAAAAGTCAAATTTACGTTACTTTTAAACGGAGCATTCCAAATAAAAACACCAAATGATTTTTTATTTTGATAAAAAAATTGAGGATGATCTTTTAAGTATCAAATATGAAAATCCGTTGCCGTTTTAATTTTTGGATTCTTTACTTTTAATCGGCACCCTTTAGAAATCTGAAATCGTGTCAATTTCTTACTCTCTTATAGTGGGCCAGAACTTTTTTTCTGTGAAAAATATTGAAATGATTTTAATTTTCTTTTACTGTTCAGTAAGTGTGTTTTCGTAAGTAATATCATAAGGGCATTTAATTTTTCCGAAAAGAATCGAAAAAACACGTTGCTAAGTAATATTTTAACAAAAAGCATGAGTGCTGGTGGCAACAAAAATCCGAGTCGAAGAGGAGGATTTTTGCACCTGCACGAATGCATTTTGTTAAAAAATATTACTTAGCATTGTGTTTTTTCGATTTTTTTCACAGGAAAAATTAGATGCCCGAATGGTATTTGACAAGACTATTTCATGAGTAACAGTTAACAATTAAAATATAAATTGCAATTTTTGGTGACAACAGCTGTCAAGTTTTGCCGCGGGTAAACTCGAATAAACTGCTGACAGGTGCTGTCACACAGTTTTTTCACCTAGAAACCATTTGTAATTCAAAATTGCGCCTTTGTGATTGGTGGAAATTAAGACGAGGGAAATAGTCGATATAAATTATTATTATCCAATTAGTTAATCTCATAAAACAATGGTAAACCACTAAAGATTCATGATAATTTGACAATTTTTGTGATTTTTGTCTGGCTCCTGTGCCTATTCTACTAAATCTAGAAAGTTATTTTTTTTCAGGTATCAAGTACTTATAAAATAGAAAACGTAACTATTATTTTAAGTTTCTAGACTATCATTTTCTTTATTAAAAAAATTATTGAAACTTGATAATTCTTAAAATTATTATGTTAAGGAAAAAATAAAAATCTGAAACTTTCAGGAAATGTAGTCCCCACCTTCATCTTTTCAGTCCAGTTAGTCTTGTTTTGTTATTTGTATTCCTTTAAAAGATATATTATTTTTTTAATGCCCGTTTAGTAGCGAAATTGTTAGTTTTATTTATAATTTAAAATTTAGATGGCTTTCATGTTTGGTGGAGAAGTGTCAGAAGTTCTGTAAAAAAAAATTAGCATACTAGCCCAATATTTAAGGGTCCCCCTGGGGGCCCAAAATATTATTTTTTTATATTTTGTTTGGGGTGGCAACAAAAAGTTACATTATGTTGACAATAATTGTAGAAAAAAAATTAGCGTACTAGCCCAATATTTAAGGGTGCCCCGGGGGCCCAACATTTTTTTTTATATATATTAATTGGGGTAGCCACAAAAAGTTACCTTATGTTAACAATATGTTTACAAAAAAATGTCCAATATTAGAATTTGACGTAAAAAATTTGGCGGTTTAGCAAATTCTAGGGTTAAAAATGTTTATAAATTTGGAAATGTTTTTTTAAAATAAAAGAACTAAAAATATTTATAAGTCAAGCAGACGACTTCTATATAAGGTTCGGCAAGTTTCCCTTTCACACGCAAGCGGTGAAAAAGTTTGTGAAGCTTGTAACAGAAGCTGCATTAAAAATTTGCTGTGAGGTAGCAAGAAATGGTTATAACCATATATATATATAGATGCGCGGACATCTTTACCGGCCTATATGACAACAAGTCTCAATATTATTTAAATAATAAAAAAAACTGAGTGGGAGGGAGCGGATGGAACTCGAGGAGCAAATATCCAATTAATTAATAATAATAATAATAATAAAAATGCTTTATTGCGTAAAACACAAAATTAATTACACAAAAGGCTGCGTTCGTAAGGACGTTCTTCCATACCACCTACTAAGAAATTAAATATATTTTATTCTGCATATCACATATTAATTAAACTAAATCCTATAATTTCATATCACACCAGTTAATAACAAATTTTTGTACTTTAAATTAAATGTGTTTGGATATTTAAATATTATGTTAAAGAATGTTTTATCGTTCAAAAGTTCTATAGATAGTTCTATAAACGAATCCTTAGATTTTGAAGTTTTGTGACTAGGTATTTGAAAAAGATTGTGTCTTAAATCAAGGTTTATTGGATCTTTGAATAAAGTTGTTGAATAGGTATTCAGGCAATTATTAGGTATTTACTTTCTGCACTAATTTTCCAAAATTATGCTTGTAAGGATCAATTATTTTTAAATGCTTGTTTTCCAAATAGATTGAAGTAATGGGGTCAAATTTTCCGACTAAATATATGAATCTAATACATGAGTTTATTTTTAAATGTTTCAGTATGATATGAGTAGTAGACTGGCATGCAATAGTCTATAATAGGGTGTATATTAATGTTGAAACAATTTTGCACTTGGTGTTAGAATTTAGAACATACTTAAATTAATATAGTGATTTCAGCTTCATATAACACAAACTAAGTTGTCTTGTAACATGGCTTTCAAAGTTCAGGTTTGTATAAAAAATAACACCCAGATTTCTTGCTGTTTCTTGCTGAGGTATTTCTATATTATTTATATGTATGGTATTAAAATTATATTGTTTTTTATTTATAATAATATATTATATAGGTACTGTACCAATATTTATTACAAGACTCTTTTTGGCATTTAACTGAAGTCTATGATTAACTGACCAAGCATTTACTTCTTTTAAGACTTTATTTATTTCGATAGTGGTTGTGTTAATTAATTTAGAGTAACGCAAAATCTTTTTTAAATTTAATATTTAATTAAATTTAAAAAAGATTTTGCGTTACTCTAAATTAATTAACACAACCACTATCGAAATAAAGCTAAGAGTTGCTAATTTTTTTCATCAAAAGGCGTCTTAATAAAATAATAAAAAAAACTTAGACTGATACAGGCATTTGGTTTGTCTATGCAATAATACATGGGGTAACTTTTTGTTGCCATCTCAATTAAAATATATATAAAAAAATTTGGGCCCCCAGGGCACCCTTAAATATTGGGCTGGAATGGCTATTTTTTTCTAAACATACTGTTAACATGAGGTTACTTTTTGTGGTTACCCCAATTAAAATATGAACAAAAAATATATTTTGGGGCACCCTTAAATTTTGGGCTAGTACGCTCATTTTTTTTTTAGAATTACTGTTAATATAAGGTAACTTTTGTGGTTACCCCAATTAAAATATGATAAAAATAAATATTTTGGGCCTCCGGGGCACCCTTAAATATTGGGCTAGTACGCTCATTTTTTTTTCTAGAATTATTGTTAACATAAGGTAACTTTTTGTTCCCACCCCAGTCAAAACATACAAAAAAAAATATTTTGGGCCCCCGGGGGACCCTTAAATAATGGGCTAGTACGCTACATTTTTTTCTAATAAATTACTTTTAACATAAGGTAACTTTTTATTGCTACCCAAAAATAAATATCTAAATTTTTTTTTTTTTTACGTTTTTCGGCCCACCCTATTGTATAAGTACTTGATACCTGAAAAAAGCAACTTTCTAGATTTAGCAGAATAGGCACAGGAACCAGACAAAAATAATTAGATAATAATAATTAATATTGAAAACATACTTACTAGGAAGTAAAATAAAATTACAATCATTTCAATAATTGCGACAGATATGATACCTAAAAGATCATCCTCAAATTTTTTCATTAAAATAAAAAATCATGCAGCGCACTTTTAACTTCATTTTTGGTGTTTTCATTTGGATTGACTCTTTACCCACATATTTTTAATTGAACTGCCTTATTACCTTTAGATTTAGGATCCTGAACATCCACTGAAACTACAGCCAAGGCGGTTCTTCGTTCGCTAGGGTTCGTTGGCTGATCTGTCGCCTCCACAAACAACAAATACTTGGTGATGTTTAGTGACATTGTCACTGCGATTTTGCCAGTTCTTCCATCGATTTTAAACGGAATTACCGATGCATTGGCAGGTTTTTGCAAAGTGTACTGCACCAATCCGTTTTTTCCCAAATCGGGATCTATCGCGTCCACTTGTCCCACGACGTCACCTTTTCTTGCTGGCGATGTGACGGCAAAGTCGAACAGGTTGTTCGGGATAAAAGTGGGATTGTTGTCGTTCGCGTCCAGCAACGTGACTTCAATGCGCACCGAAGAGGCACCAAGTTTCGCCGTAACAACGCTTGGTTGCTTTTCTTTCGCAAACACGCGCATATTGATGGAGGAACGTTTTTCCCGATCCAATACATTTTGATCTCGAACCTAAAATATTATGCAATACAGGGCATATTCAGTTTTATTTGATGAGTACCAAAGTGACCACGTACGGAACGCAGTCTTTTGAAAATTTGGCATTTAAGGCTTTTCAGGTTATGTATCTGTCAAAGTATAGTTAACGAAAGAAATAATATTATGTTTAGGCGTTAAAAATTTATAAATCTTTACATAACATTACAATAACAATGGATGGTGCCAAATAAGTAATATTTTTGTGCATTTGGTCCAAATATCTGGTTTCTCCATACAATAATTTTAACTAAACAGCATTTATGAAAAAAAATCTAGCTTCTCTATAATGGAATAAGAATATCTGTTTTAAAGGTAGGTTAATATATCATAACAAAAATATCATCTAATTTTGTAATTTTAAGGTTAGAAAAATTTATTTTGACCAAAATAAATAAGTATTTTGGATTATTTAAAAGACTGTATAATATGGTATTTAAAAATGTGGTAGTTTTTATTATACAGCTTAAAGTGTACCTACATAAAGTTTTGTCAATACAAATAGTTAAAGAGCTTCGACTGAACATGATCTACATCAAAAATCATTATAACTTTAAAATTTCAATAAATCACATGTCATGGAGGTATTAAATATTTTCACATTGCAAGTTTCTCTAAAAATTGTTTGTTGTCTTATAATCTAACTTAAAATAGGTATGCCGAGAGGTATACACAAGTTTTGTCATTGGAAGTATAAAAGCTTCAATTTAATTTGAACCATATTCAACTATAGTTGAATATATTATTTAGTATACCTATATTTATTTATGACCATATTAACACACTCTTCCAAATAATCCCCTTATTTATTTTGGTCAAAATAGATTTTTCTAACCTTAAAATACAAAATTAGATGATATTTTTTGTTCTAATACATTAACCTACCTTTGATACAGATATTCTTATTTCATAATAGAGAAGTTAGATTTTTTTAAATAAATGCTGTTTAGTTAAAACTATTTTATGCAGAAATGTAGACCCAATGCACAAAAAAATCACTTATATTGCACCTTACACTTTGGAATTTCATGAAATGCAGTATTTATATTCCTAAATTCTTAAACCAACCATTGTTATTGTGATACTATAAAGATTTATTAACTTTTAACGCCTAAACATAAGCGGTAACACTATAAATATTATTTCTTTCATTGACTATACTATAACCTGAAAAGCCTTAAATGCCAAATTTTCAAAACACTGCGTTCCGTACGTGGTCACGTGATGGGACTTTAAGGTGTGGAGCATAGTACATATCCTTAAAAAGGATGACAACTTATCTGGTGCCACTCTGTATATTTAATTATTAATTACACAATAATAACTTTTACTTGGAAGCAAATTGTTTTTTAACACCTTTCATAAAATTAATTCAGACTCACTGGTTTAAATCATTTCTTGTTTTAAAAATAATCCGTTACCAATGTTTTCTTTCACACATTGTATGTTTGCGATTCCCACGAACTTTGTTTTTTAACTGAGATAATTTTACAATAATAATAACACGGAACAAAAAGGGTAAGTAAATCAAAAGCAATTGTCAGTTCTTCTTCCTCATACTTTCCTGTGAATAAGAATTAATTAATGGAATTTTAACTCTGCCTAACGTTTTAGATAATTTTATTAGAAAAATAAAGGTAATTCATATTCAAAACAAAATAACGTATTAAGTGAGGAGGTGCATTCCAAAACTCGGCTTATCCATATTAGTTGTTTTTGAGCAAAATGTTAAAAACCTTTCACGTGAGTACTAACGCATATCAGGCCAACACAATACTTTAAACGAAAAATAACGCATAAGTGAAATATTTATATAGGTACAGTTGTATTCATTAAAAAAGCGTACAAGAATTAGAATGAGAGAAATCTGTCAACATTATTGCGTAAAACCGGCTTTCCACTGACTTAAGTCACTATAACTGACAGTAGAAAATAAAAATGCCTCTTCAGTTAAAAAGGCTCAAATAGTATCAAGAATCGAAGAAGAATGATCAATTCGTACTGTGGTATAATAGAAATAAAAAATCTATATTAAAAATTAAGCAACTTTGCAAACAGGAAGATTTACTAAACCAAAAAGTTGGTTCAGGTCGTCCCAAAATGTCCACCCCTGAACAGGATGCTGCTTTTTTGAGATATCTGAGGATTTATGGGAAACTATACTATACCTACTATACTGCTGGGAAGATATTAATCCAAATATTGTATTAAATTTAATTCAGTTCATCCCAAATAGATTGGCTCAAGTAATAGAAAAATAGGGATGCATGACTAAATATTAATTTTTTTTTAATGTTTGTTTTTTCATTATTAAAAGGTAATAATTTTTGTAATATTATTTAATTAACCTACGACGTCAATGCTCTTTATAACCTATAATTATTATTTTAATGACTTATGTCAGTGATAAGCCGGTTTTAAGCAATAATATTATTTTGACAGTTTTCTCTCATTCTAATTCCTGTACGCTTTTTTATTGAATACAACTGTACCTTGATTAAAAAGGTATAGCTTTAATTTAAAATAATTTAAAATTACATACGTCTACACAGTAAAAAAAATCAACTCAAAGCAACACTAATTAGAGTTCACACAGGTCCACACTAAATAGTGTTGTTTTATAACACTACAATTAGAGTTAATTTGTAGTGTAATTTTACCCAAGTAAGCAAGTTTGATTTAACACTATAGCACTGAGGATAAAGTAATTTTACACTGTATTAAAAAGTGTTAATTTACCTAAAATCGTGTACTTCTACACTTCCTGGGTAAAATCCCACTTTTGTTCAGTGTAAATTAACACTACTTTGGAAAAGTTCTAATTTTAGAAAGGTACTTTTACTCTTTTAGTGCAAACTTCTAGTGTAAATTAACACTATTATTTGAGTAAAACCTATTGGTCGTAGTAAATAATACGAAAAGGTAAATAAAGAGAAACATTTATTTGGAACAAAAATCTATGACAATTATCAAAATCGGTGCCTTTTAAAATATAATTTTATATTTGAGTCGTATGGCTGGCTTAAGCAAAATGGTTCCTTAAAACGTAAAAGTTTTAGATCAATGCAATGTTTTACTGGCTGTCAACTTGTAAGCAATGAATTATCTTGAGAATTCATCAGTAATAGATTTTTCTGTTATAAAAAATGGGTGATCCCATTGGTAGAGAGGCGTCAGGCGTCTGTATGTCGGGGATTTACCACACGTGTATAAATTTTTCATAATATTAATAAAAATGTAGGTATAGGTTAATTTAACAACCATTACGTAAATTATTGATATATAATATAGGTCGGGTATGGACATCCTTTTAACATATTGGTATTTATTGAGTATTAAGGCTTAAAGAAAAAGGAAGTATAATACTTACCAAAAAATAAGAATGTCCCCTTATGGATTCACCGTAATTAAAATCTAAATGAACAAAAATGCCACACTTCCACAACGCGGTATCTTCGGATATGCACTGCCTAGGTAGATAGGTACCTAGTATATTTTGTAGTGTAACTTTTACACTTACAAATCAACTCTAATATTTTTACCCTTGAGTATGAGTATGAGTATAAGAGACGTATAACCAGCCCCATTTCCTCTTGACTCTCGAACCCCGTACAGGCCTATGTTTACTTACGCCGATTTTTGTTCTTCCCCAGCAACTGCACGGCTTCACCCGTGTTTGCTGGGTGCGAATGTCCATTGCGTTCCGTACTGTCCCCTATTTGGGGCTCGAGAGCGAGAGGCGAATAGTTATAATAGCCATTCCCGGGTTCGCCGAGCCTATGCTATACGCTCGGTGGGGTATGGATGAGGGACGGGAGGGAGTTGGTTTTTGGGGGACAATTACGCCGACTTAAAACTAAGTACGACGCGGAATCCCCCTAGACCAGTCGATTAGTATTACTCCAAACATTTGGGATTACTATTTGGAGTTGGGGAGTTGTTATTTCGCTGCAGGGGTGTAGTTTCCTAGTCAAGGTCTTTGTCTTGTTCGTTATTGTCATTGTCCGTGTTCTGGTCAGATAGTTCCTGCCCTTGGTAAAGTGTGTCAGTTGTTTTTAATATTTTTGTCCCAAGCACGTTTTGTGGTAGAGTTCCGTCTTTGTTTATCAAATTCCAAAGCTTGCATTTATTCACTAGTCAAACAAATCACAAGCGCGATTATTCTGTTGTCTAATGTTTACAAATCTCGAGTTTGGCTATTAGGCCCTTTTTTTTAATGTGTTAGAATTATGTGTTCAATGTTAGTTTACTCTGTCAGTCCAGTGTTTATTTCGGTCTCGATTGGGACCGCCTTACGCATTTGCTGTTGACAGACTTATTGCCCCACGCCGGGTGCCCTTCATAGGTTTTAAAGATATCCCAATAAACACCTTAACGATACCTAACACCATTAACACTGCCCGTGTAAGAATTTTTAACACTTTTTAATACAATTTTGCAATGATAGTAATTAAAAACAAAACAATTGTTTAAAGTTCTTAACCTAATCATATTTTAAAGTTATTTTAACATTTTCAAGTAAAATAAATGTTATGTTTAATGAAATGAATACGGGCAATGTTAATGGTGATAAATAACGGAAAATGCTTGTTGGGATCTGCCGTATTTATATTGCAGATTTGTATCAGGTCATGCATACTCTTAAAGTAAAACTTATCAGATTTTTCCCCTTGCGGATGGCCACCTCCCCTCTTCTCCGACCTCCCCCGTCCGTCCAGTGAAAAGCCTCCAATGACAGGTGGCACCCAAGTCATTCATATCACCCAACACTCAATGACCGTTACACCATTTAGCTTGCACTCCATGAAAATGTTTGTTTCACTTATCAGTTCGCACCCCTTTTTTTTTTTTAATTATTGTTGGTTTCATCTTTAAACTTTTACGTTTCAAGAGCTCGCCCGCGTGACGCGACTCGTCTTCTCGAGAGCTGGAGCCGAACTGACTCTAATATTTTTACCCTTACACTAAAAAATGTACACGGGCAAAATTTTTTACTGTGTATGCCGAGTTCTGCCTGATATAACCAATAGATAAGAGAAGTTTTGGAACGATAGTCAATTTGTAAATTAATTTTAAATGGAATAAGGTGAGTTTAGAATATTATAACCTTTTCGGGGTATATGGGGATATATGTTAAATGTACTATTGCGGCCGATAAAAAGTAATCGATTCTTTATCAAGTTGCATGTTTTTCTTAAAAATTGGCTATTGTAAGTAGGGTTTTTAACGTCAGTCATGTCAATTAAATTATTTTGACAAGAAATCATAGGTGTATGACATATTTAATTTTTTAATAAAAAAAACTTAAATTATATAAAGCATGTTTATTCGTAATACAAACAAAAAGAACAAATTATTTATTGGGCGACCAAAATAAATAAATTTAAACTTAAAAAGAAATAGTATACTACGACTATAACAATTATAAAAGATGAGCCAACCAGGGTTGGATGGAAAAACCGGCCCTGGCAATTTTTTCATTCAGCCTCCCTCGGGCATTATCTCACATAATCTTACAGATTTGTAATGCTATAAAAACTCCATTTAAAAAAAAAATAATTAATACTTGGTAGAACCAACATTCTTCTCTATAACATTTTGTAATCTCCTAGGCATGGAACTAATTAAATTTTGCATATCGTAATTTTCTTCCAAATTGTTCCACTCATTTTGAATTGCATTAATAAGGTCTTCTCTATTTATTGATCTAAATTCATATTTATATATATTTTTTACGAGATATCCCCAAATATTTTCGATTGGGTTTAAATCGGGGCTTCTTGACGGCCAAGGAAGCGTTGTAATGTGATTTTTTTCTTGCCAATTATGAACCACATGAGCAGTGTGAACTGGCGAGTTATCCTTAAAATGAAAAAAAAAAATTTTGATCAGGAAAGATAAATCATAAAGTGATACGTGTTGAAACACAAAATCATTATCAAATCTGTCTTGCACTGACGGAAGCATTACATCGTTTAAAATTTCCACGTATCGGTTCCCAGTTAATCGGCTTTCTACAATATGAATTATACCAGCCCCTGAATATGATATCCACGCCCACACGTGGACAGAAAATCTTCCGCTGTTGTCAGTTTTGTGGAGGTATTCTTCATCAAACTTATGGTTTCTGGACGATAAACTCTCTGTTGCCCATTGTAGCAGGATTGAAATATTTTTTCATCTGAAAAGTCTACTCGCTCCCAATATTCAGCGTTTTGATTTAAAAAATTATTTGCAAACTCCACTCTTGCCTTTTAATTAACATCCGTCAAGCGAGGCTTTTTAGCACTCACGCAGTTAATAAACCTTGTTGTCGCAACCGTTTTCTTGCTGTCCCAACAGATGCTGGGAAGTCTTTGGCTTGAATGGAGTTAGAAAATGGGTTTTGCCTCAAATATTCAACCAACTCGTTGTCGTTTACTGGAGTTGTCTTTCTTGGACGCCCAGAACCCATTACCTTACTCAGGTGACCAGTTTCCACCCACTTTTTGTTTAATTTTTGAATAATGCTTTTGCTGCAGTTTATTTCATCTGCTATTTGTTGTTGAGACCATCCTTCTCCAATTTTGGCGATAATATAGCCTTTATCTGCTTCACTTAAAGTATGGTAAGGCATAATTAAATAATGACTTTACTTAATTTAAGATTTACTTAATTTAAGATGACGTTACTTCATTTTATAAAATTATTTTTGAAATGCCACTGGTGACAACCATATTTACAACGGGAAAATTAGTCGATTACTTTTTATCGGCCGCAATAGTACACACACCACTAAGTCATTTTTATTAGAAAGTGGATAAGCCGAGTTTTGGAAAGTATTACTTTAATAGTATTACTATTAATCTAGATTACTTACAGTTAACCACCCAGTTCTGGAATCCAACGTAAAGGCTCCACTTATATCTTCTAGCTGGTAAGAAAAATCCGCATTATCGCCCTGATCCTGATCAGTGGCCACTATCTGCAGAACACTGAATCCGTTCGGTAGATTTTCCACGATACTTATGTTGTAAAAATCAACCTCAAACTCCGGCAGATTGTCATTCAGATCCGCTACTTCCACTTCCACCCTGGCCACCCCAGTTTTCAAAGGGTTGTCGATTTGCGAAGCTTGGATCTGAAGGACGAAAGTGTTTCCAGGAAGGGACCTTTCCGAATCCAGATCTATTTCTCGCTCCAGGAATAGGGACCCGTTCACGTGATCCAGAGAAAACAGGTGTCTCTCGTTACCCGCAATGATGTCGTATCTTATGGGAGTCTCTATGGCTAGATCTTGATCGAATGCGTAAATCGGAGGCTCGAATTTCAGTCGATAATGAATTCTGTTACCCTAAAAATGTATGCTTTTATTACTAAAGATGGGATATTTAGGTACTAAAAACTGAAAAATAGGTAACTAAAAAGGTACTAAAAAAAGGCATTTTAGGTTAAAAAAACAGCATTTTAGGTAACAAAAATCATAAAAGTTCAAGTTTGGTTTATTTTTATGAAATAAGTAACATAAAATATTTTTTTTATAAACTGACCAATAGTTCATTAAAGATATAAGGAACTGAAAATATAACAGAGAATACCTGATATTTACCAAATTTACTACTAGAGTAACAAACAGATAGCTAAAATTTATATAAATTAAAGAAAGATGTTTTAACATAACCTCAAAGTCCTTACAATATTACAGCAAACTCTACAAAATAAGTTTTTTCCGTCAATAGAAAATTTCTTATTCTTCCCCTCTATCCAACTGCTGAGTTTATTTAGAGGATTTTCTTTGGTTTTGGGCATTTTTTATAATTTTGTTTAGCCGCATAACCAAACACAGAACATACCCACAATAAACTATTTCTATGCAATAAACTGTGTTTCACTGAGTGGCACTCACTCCAAAGAAGGTAACTGCAAAGAAATTTACTGTTACAGTCTGTGACCATAAGAAAAAATTCTATACCCTTGAGTTGCACGATAAAATATTGGCGCAAAATTTAAAAAAAAAAAAAAAGTAAAAATACGTAAAAATACGTAAAAATAGGTAAAAAATAGGTAAAAATAAACTGACAAATTAAAAAATATGTAACAAAAGTATAAAAAGGTAGTTTAAAGCAAAAACCTCCAAAAAAGGTAAAAAAGGTGAAAACAAGTTAAAAAAATAGGTAACAAAAGTATAAAAAGGTAGTTTAAAGCAAAAACCTCCAAAAAAGGTAAAAAAGGTAAAAACAAGTTAGGTTCATATAAAAGAAAATCTTTTAAAACACATTTTGGCATTATTGGTTTTCAAATAGTTACATCCGTTGAAAAAAGGTAAAATAACTAAAATCCCATCCCTATTTATTACCATTAAACGCATTTCATTTAATTGCATTTAACAATAGTTCTTTTGCATTTGTTCTTACACTTGTTATGGAAAAAACAATTTTTTATAATGTCTATAATAATTATGTGTGAAAATATTTAAATGGTATTTGTTCTTGTTTCCTGTTAAGAAATGCACTTCTATCTTAAAAATAGTACCATAATAATTATTATAACAAACCTATGCATTATATAATTTTTATTGTCGTTGAATTACCAAGGATACAATTATTACGAGGCTATTTATATTTATTTCATTTCCGTCTTAAGGTTTATTTTTTTTTAGAATAATAGGGTATTGAGTATCAAGTGGTTTGCAGAAAGCCAAGGGAAAGAACTGAAACGAAAAAGCCCTGTTGGCATGACGAGCATGAATAAAATATATAGTTTAAATTAAAGATGTATACATATATGTAATACAATATTGTATGTTTTGAATTTTTTTTATTAATTGTACAGGGTGATCCCCTATAATGTCGCCCCCCTTTAACTTTTTTATATTAAGTGTCCCAAAAAATTTAAAAGTGTGGTTATGTAAGTACTAAAAAATACTTTTTTCTACTCCTATTACGGAATTGTGTTACAGAATGAAATAAAGTGTTACAGAATGAAATATGCTATCATCTGATGACAGAATAAACACTCGTGGCGACGTCTCTGTTTTTAATATCTAACATATTTTAGAACGATTCAACCTCACTTTCTTCCAATTAAATTATTTTTCTATTGTATTTTTTGGAATATTAGAAAAAGTATATTCTGAAACACGTTTGGAATTGCATATTCCGCTCTCGTGAAACCGTCAAACTCGCCTTCGGCTCGTGTGACAAACTCTTCACTCGAGCGGAATATGCTGTATTCCAAACTTGTTACAGATTATACTATTTTTCTACGTATAAAGAAAAATGGAAAATTGATCAATATACAAGGAAAACCAAAATTTTTTTTGGATCACCCTATATATGAATTTATTTTTCGATTCCTTGTAAAATTCTGAGCATAATTCATATAACAAACCATATACCTAAACTCAACCGTTTCTGAAATATTCGCATTCGAAATGTTATCATTAAATGTTTTTTTAAACTGTTAGAAATCAAGAAGCCTCATTATACCAAAATTTTTATTTAAAATAAATTACTTTAGTCACAATATGTCAATATGTCTTGTTAAATAAGTAAAAATGTGGTACTCAGACAGAGAAACACAAACTAAATATTTCAAATTATTATCTTAAAAATAATTTAAATATTTCAGAAACCGTTGAATTTAGGTATATGGTATGTTATATGAAATATGCTTAGAATTTTACAAGTAATCGAAAAATAAATACATATATAGGGTGATCCATTGAAAAAAAATAAACTTTTTGTTTTTCCCTGTATACTGATCAATTTTCCAATTTTCTTTATACGTAAAAAAAAAGTATTTTTTAGTACCTACATAGCCCAATTTTTATATTTTTTGGGAGACTTTAAATAAAAAAGTTAAAGGGGGGCGACATTATAGGGGATCACCCTGTACCTATAAAGTTATATTAAATAATATAATACCTTGTAAAATCATAAAATTTTACATTTAACTAGGGATAAGTTATGCAGTCCAAGTTGGTCCAAAAAAATGATTACACTAAATTTTAGCCCGAATAATGCTATAAATAGTTATTGATACATCTTTTGACACCTTAAATAGTGCTAGTGGTTTAGAAGTTTTTAAAAGGCCTTAGACTGGGCCAAAAAAATCAACTATTTTTTTTAAGTATATCGAAAATATGGTTTGGGGTGACAAAAAAAATTATTGTGAAAGTTTTCGTCCATAATATTATAATATTAAGAAGTCTAAAATCGCAATTTAAAATTTTTTTTCCGCAGCAAGTTTTTGTCTCAGAACTCCCAAACCATTAAGTTTAACAAAATTGAAAGAAATATTTTTTTAAGAAGATTAAATGCTCTACAAAAAAGGTTAAAATAAAATTTTCCGTCAGATCAACCGTTTCCTTAAAAGCATGCCTTAAAAATTGGTATAGTTTTACATTTTGATCTTTTAACTTTGAAATTTTGTAATTCATGTAAAAATCAGTACCTACCTATAAAAAAAGGAAAATCAAATGCTTTACAAAAAAAGAATCTTAACTTTTTTGGTTAAATTCATTTAATCAAAAGTTATTCAAGGTTAAAATTGAGTCAAACCGAAATTCTTGTTTTTTTCCTAAAAAAATATAAACAGCAATTCTCAGATAACTTTTAAGGAAGCTAATTTCTTTTGTACCTATTGACTATTAGAATTTAAAAATTCACATAATTTATTATACGCATAACAACAAACAAAATTAAACTAAAGAGTGAAAACAGCACAGTTTAAATAGTAGAATAATTGTAACACTTACAGTGAGGAAGTGCATTTATAAATTGCCCACTCACACCTAGTTACTAGAAAATTAGTTATTCGAAAAAGTAAAAGCGTTCAAGAATCTATTATGAATTTTTACTGTCTATTTTTAATGCATTCTAATTTATAGCGTAAAGTTTTAGTTTAAAAACATGGTATTTATTATACTTCCTTATACCGGGTGTCTCATGTTCAACAAATCAGTTATTATTCAGGAAGTTAACGCAAGTATACGAGGTGTGTTCAGAAAATAACGGGAATTGTTAAATTTCGCGGGTTCGGAGGGTCCGGTTGTCATAAAATTTTCTTTATTATGTTGGTATACATAAAACTTTAGCTGTTTTCATTGTTTACTTTGTCTGTGGCAGCCGCTAAGGTTAGACGTGTTTTATGAGCTCGGCGATTTTTCGTTCGTTAAAAGAAATGGATCAAAGAATTTGTATCCAATTTTGCTTAAAAAATGAAATAAATTCTGTGAAATGTGAACAAAGGCCTAAAGTGAGTCTGCTATTAGTAAAACAAGAGTTTACAAGTGGTATAAGAGTTTCCAAGATGGCCGTGAAGACGTTGAAGATGACGAACGCCCCGAACGCACAAGCACATTAACAACCGATAAAAACATGGAAAAAGTGGAATAAATGGTTATAAACCATCAGAGAAGTCGCTGATGATGTTGGTATATCGATTGGCTCATCCCATGAAATTTTTTCGAATGTTTTGGGTATGATTTCTGGCAGCAAAATTTGTTCTAAAATTGTTAAATTAAGAACAAAATTTTTTGCCAAAAAGAATACTGTAATGATGCCCCAGCCTTCATATTCGCCAGACATGCCTCTGTCTGACCTTTTCCTATTCCCAAAAATAAAAAGAACCTTATAGGGCCGTCGTTTTGCAAGCATAGATGACATTAAAAGCGCATCGCTGAAAGAACTAAAGGCTATCCCAAAGATCAAGTTTTAGAAGTGTTTCGAGTATTGGAAGAAGAGCGGGCATATGTGCATAATATCCAAAGGGGACTATTTTGAAGGCGGCAACATTAATGTAGACGAATAAATAAATATTTGTTTAAAAAAACGAAAATTCCCGATATTTTCTGAACACACCTCGTATTATGGATAACACCGCTAAGGAACCGGGTGGGCTCTGTTACTGTGGACCTGGGACTATGGAAAGGAAACCATTTAGGGTACAATAGGATTGCGTAAACAAAGTGCAGTTCAGTGCAGTTAACCAATTTTGTTTTGTGGGTAAAAAAATTACAAAAATAAATTTACAAAAAAACCTGTAACATAATACTTACAGTTATTGGATAAAATTCGGAGATTTTGGCTCTGTAAACGCCTTTTGTAAATTTTGGTGGAAGGTCATCATTGTCAGTAACTCTTATTTTTATTGTGGTGTTGGTACTGCGTGGTGGGGTTCCACGATCCTTAAAAAAAAAAGTAGTCTAAATATTTTTTAACAGAGACCATAACACATGGAAAAAATATGACATCATCTATGAGACTTGTATTTTTTCTTTTTGCTTAAATTTGTTTTGTTCACACGTAGGAAATTTTTGAAAAATGGACAGAAACATTTATTTTTTTTCTTTTTACGAGTGACATTTTTTATTAAAAATGCGATAACTTGGCCAAAAATGTATCAATGGTCTTAACTTTTTATTTTCTATGCATTTTTATGTACCGTAAATACGGGTGACTTTGCACCCCGCGGGTGACTTTAACCCATTTATGAAAAATCTTTTCGCGCTCGATAAAATTAACATTTATAATTTTTTGGTCTAAACCTGTCAATTGAGCGATTCTATTGAGTTTATATTACAGGAAAATCAGTGTTTTAAAGAAAGAAATGGGATTTATTACACTTTAAAATTGTATATATCGTATCAGTGCAAAACTCTAGAAATACACGCGTTACAATTTCTATATTATGCGCAATCCATTGGAATGATGATCCTTGGTTAACTACAGGTCGATTTTTTATTTTTTTTATTGGTAATCCCTTGCAATAGATATATGTCGCTGCTAACACGTGTCTAATAAAAATAAAATATAATATTACATTCATTTTATACTGAAAAAACACTGTGAGACAAAGTAACCCGCAACCAGGGGGTAACTTTGCACACCCAGTTTTTAATGTTTATTTTTGAAACTCAGCCCTATGTAATATTATAACATAGTTATTATAAAAGAGCAACTCAAGACTCAAATTTTGGTATACAAAATGTAATGTTTATGATTGTTAAAACCACAAAAATTTTAAGCTGAAGTTTGAAAGTGAGCCAAAGCCACCCGTGTTTACGGTATTTCCATTCAAAATAAAATTCAAAATATATACATATGTCATTTGTAAATTTTTACAGGTGAAATCATTTTTTGAATTAATTTTATTTCTATATCTAGAGTGCCTTGAATTGGCTTTTCTGCTTCATGTTGGGTCAAGTAGTTTGGAAAAAATACAATTTTATTCTTTTTTTGTAATGCTGGTTTTTATGAGCTTTCAAAAATTGAAAAACCATACTTTATGCCAAAACTATTTTTTTAATAATAAAAGGTGGTTCGTTGGTCATAAAAGAAATCCACTTTTTTAAATTTGATACCAAATATTAATGCATATGGGTGATTCTACAAAAGTTGGGAAACTTTGACCTCATTTTGTTTATATAGTTTTTGGAGAAAATTAAACAGTATTTTGTTGTTAGAACATAGAAAATATAATAAATATACTGTTCCAGACCGGGCCAGTCACTTTTTCAGAAATATATGTGTTTTCTAAATTTAAATGCAAGGGAAGTGACGAGTATACCAGGGTACTAATTAAATACATAATTTATTGAAAAATATAAGATTTATTGCAACTTTGAGCATATTATACATAAGATATCTTAAAATCAAATAATACCACACATCAGTGGCGGCTGGTGGATTTTGGGTATACCGATATCTCAATTATTAGATATGGGACCCACACCAAATTTATATGAGTTTATGACATTAAATAAATAAGTTCTGCGCAAGCAGAATTTAAATTGAAGTTTGCGAAAAAAAAATAACCGAAACATCGAACATGGAACTGACGACACGGTATACTGATGAATGGGATCCAAATTTGAGATTATAATTCGGAATTAAGTATTTTACTGATATTTTTTAATAGTGGATGCTACTTATCAAAAATCACATATAGCCTTATATAAATTACAACGAAATATATATACGTAAGAAAATAACTACTCTCCACAGTACTGAAATTTTGACTGGAACTATACGTGCATTCACCACACCTTCGCCGCTTGCATTGTTTTCAAAATGACTCTCGTGCAAAGGGCGGGCTCTGTAGGTAATTTTTTACCAACACTTGAGTTAAAACGAGGACTTGACGTTTACACTTCATTATTTCGCAGGAATTTTGAATTTTAACATTGGACACAGAACTGACAGGTAAAAGTGAGTACAAAGATTATCAATTTTTTAAAAATTGCTAATATTCGAATCTATAATAAAATATTAAAAATACATTATTTAATGTTTTATAGTTTGTAGTAAAATTGAAAAATTTAAGATAAATTGAATATATTTTAAAATAAAATCACTCAAATATTTGATTCAGGAGTTGTGACACGCCAAGGTACTGATGTTTTGAATATTTATTATGTTTTTCTACAAACGTGCTTTTGAAAAAGTATACTGAAATATTAACAAAAAATATTAAAATACCTACTCTATTGACTGATGACATTAAGTTGTCTAACTTTTGTTGAATCACCCATATTTTAATATCGCTTTGAAACTCTTAATTAAATTTGAATGTTAGGTTTAGGAATTAGGTTTCAAAGTTTGTACAAAAGTAAATAAATTAAGAAGGCTTTGAAACCTGTGTTTTAAAGAAGTATCAGATTTGACAGTTCGTTAGTTTGTTTTGCTGGTAAGTGAATATTAATGTTTTATTTTTATAAAATAAAATAAAAATAATAATTTAGGTGGTTAGAATCAAAGGGCTGTAAGTAATTGCTAAACATTTTTTTGTTTTAAAACTACTAAATAAAATTATTCAAATATTTTGAAACGATTATAAAAAGTTATATCTAACCGTCCCATAGTGTGGCCATTGTAGGGAATCCCTGGTAATAAATAAAAAGACAAAATATGAAATCAAATAAAAATTTGTTATTTCTAAACATAATTAACCCACGAATTAGTTTCTGAACATCTTAGGCTTTATATATACTTATTTCCCTTTCTGATAGAGCCTCAGCCAAAAAGAGTTTCGCGACTGCCTCACTGATATCTGTTACCCACCAACATTTTTCGGAATTGTTTGTGTTCTACATTTCTTCGAAATCGCGTTTTCATAAGTTTCTTGTGCATTCGATTCATTACTTTTAGGTATGTAATACTTCCTTTTTATTATTTTAACCAAAATTAACATATATGTTAATTTTATACATATACGTATAGTATATATATATATATATATATATATACGTCGTATACTTTTTACATCTTTCAAAAGTAACACATGCAAAAATATTAAGAATTTACATTTTACTCTAAAACCTTTCATAATTTAATTTACTTAGGTATGTACTTCCGCTAAAACAAGAAGTGACAAATATGTCAAAAAGTTCTAAATTACACTATAAAGATCATGTCATATGTCAGTTTTATGACCCTAGATAAAATACCAAATTTTGGGCGATGAACCACGAATTTACTAAAAAAATAAAATTCCAAAACGACAAATTTAGCCAAGTCGTGACTTTTGGTGAAAGTTGTTTATATTATTAACTTCAAACTAAAAAAAATTGGCAATGTCAAAATTTTTACCTTAAATTATTTTTGCCGTTTTAAGAAAAAACAACTTAAAAAAATGAGTAAATTCACTTAATTTGTTATATTTTGTATGTAGTAAACATTTACCTACAATATAAAAAAAATTGTGAAGATTGAAACATGTTTGGCCAAGTTATCGCATTTCTAAGAAAAAAGTTACTCGTAAAAAGAGAAAAACCGATGTTTCTGTAAATTTTTCAAAAATTTCCTACGGGTGAACAAACCAAATTGAAGCAACAAAAAAATACGAGTCTCATAGAGAAATTGTAAAAAAAAAACTCGTTGAAAAATAACGACCTACCCCTTTTTGTCTGATTAATTTGGGATGGAAAGACGGTCTTTCAAAGACCCCAATGCATATTATGTAAACCGACTTCTTCGTTGTTTTAAAAAAAAGTTCATTGAACTAATCAATTAGGTATATTTTAAAATACTTGACCGCAAGAAAGAAAAAGTGATTCCCCTTAATTAAAAAAATGTGTTAAGCTATTTAACACGCTTTCTAGGTACCTATTGCCAAGATAATTTTGAACCACTTAATAATTGTAATATAATAATAATTAAAATTACAAAAATAAGCGCCTGTTACAAACTAACGAAAGTAAGTTTTTATTTAGTTATTTAATTTTCAAACGTATATCGGATGCTAGATATGTATGGAACGCCGTTGTATTTTTTAATCAGGAATTTCTAATATCACTTTTGAATTTCAGATATCTGAAATTAATTTCAGATATCTAAAATTATAGGTATTAAAAAGTACTTTGGCGTTCCGTTAACGCCAAAATATTTTTTAATCAGGAATTTTTGTTGTAACTTTAACTAATAGTCATATTTGTAATTACAATTAATTGTGTCAACTGTTTTAAACAATATTTATAATTCAACTAATTTTAAACTCAAAAATAATGTGGAATTAAAAATATCAAAGTGACCCTAAAATTAAAGTCAATTTTTAATTCAAAGTGATATTTGTAATTCACAGGAATTATCGATATCAAAGTGACCAGAAAATTCAAGTTATTTTTTAATTCAAACTGATATTCATAATTCGCATGAATTATAAATATCAACTTGAATTTTTAATTCAACTTATTTTCAACTAAAAAATGATGCAGAATTAAAATATTAAAGGGAAACTAAGAATTATTTGATATTTTTAAATGAAAGACATATTTTTAATTCCCACAGTTTGGACACCCCTGGTAATGTTGACGGTTCAATTTATCTACTACAGTAGGTATATTTGCGGAACTATTTTTGTTTATATAATAACGTTTTTATTAATACTTACCTATGTAGTAAATATACCAACAATTTTAGCTTCGTTCCCGGCAGAGATAAACCTAGATAGATTTATCTAGGGAGATAAAGAAGGTTAGGTTTCCCGGCGGGAAATTCTCGCATTGTCAAATTTGTAGTAGTTCAACTGACTCAGTTGACCTACTTAACGATTTATGAGAATACCTGTGTAAATATTTGAAATATTAGGTAATTTAATTAATATTAATTATTATCCCTATTATTAATAAAAACGGTATTATATAAACAAACAGTGCCGCAAAATAATTTAACTGAGATTAAAGCATATGTACCTACTGTAGTAGATAAATTGAACCGTCAACATTACTAGGGGTGTCCAAACTGTGGGAATTAAAAATATGTCTTTCATTTAAAAATATCAAATAATTCTTAGTTTCCCTTTAATATTTTAATTCTACATCATTTTTTAGTTGAAAATAAGTTGAATTAAAAATTCAAGTTGATATTTATAAGTCATTCGAATTATGAATATCAGTTTGAATTAAAAATTAACTTGAATTTTCTGGTCACTTTGATATCGATAATTCCTGTGAATTACAAATATCACTTTGAATTAAAAATTGACTTTAATTTTAGTGACACTTTGATATTTTTAATTCCACATTATTTTTGAGTATAAAATTAGTTGAATTATAAATATTGTTTAAAATAATCGATACAATTAAAAATATGACTAGCAGTTGGAGTTGCAACAAAAATTCCTGATTAAAAAATACAACGGCGTTCCATAGATATGGCCGCAATACCTTCTAGACTTGGTTTATATTGTTATTGTTATCGAGTTGTGAACACATTATAACAAACAAATATTATTGTAACATGTAGAACAAAATAAATAAAAAAAATATAGAATACATTTAAAAAATCCACTTACCGAAGCTGTGACTGTCAAACGGAACTCCCGATCGCCGCTGTCAAAATCCAGAGATCTTTTTAGAATCAAGTTAGCTTGATGGCTATTTTCCAAAGCAAATTTGCCGCGTTCGTTGCCCGAAACAATTGCATACTGCACGTCGGAATTCGGCGTGTTTGGTTTGTCGCGATCTGTAGCTTTGATGCCTCTAAATATTGATAAACCTGAAATATATTTATAATTGTTTGTACTATGCTCCACAACTCAAAGTCTTACCACGTGACCACGTACGGAACGCAGTCTTTTGAAAATTTGGCATTTAAGGCTTTTCAGGTTATGTATCTGTCAAAGTATAGTCAACGAAAGAAATAATATTATGTTTAGGCGTTAAAAATGTATAAATCTTTATAACATTACAATAACAATGGATGGTTTAAGAATTTAAGAATATAAATACTGCATTTAATGAAATTCTAAAGTGTATGGTGCCAAATAAGTAATATTTTTGTGCATTTGGTCCAAATATCTGGTTTTCTCCATACAATAATATTAACTAAACAGCATTTATTAAAAAAACCTAGCTTCTCTATTATGGAATAAGAATATCTGTGTTAAAGGTAAGTTAATATACTATAACAAAAATATCATCTAATTTTGTAATTTTAAGGTTAGAAAAATTTATTTTGACTAAAATAAATAAGTATTTTGAATTATTTAAAAGACTGTATAATATAGTATTTAAAAATGTGGTAGTTTTTCTTATCCAGCTTAAAGTACCTACAAAAAGTTTTGTCCATACAAATACTTAAAGAGCTTCGACTAAACTTGATCTACATCGAAAAATCATTATAACTTTAAAAATTTTAATAAATCACATGACATGGGAGTATTAAATATTTTCACATTGCAAGTTTCTCTAAAAATTGTTTGTTTTCTTATAATAACTTAAAGTAGGTATGCCGAGAGGTATGCACAAGTTTTGTCATTAGAAGTATAAAAGCTTCAATTTAATTTGAACCATATTCAACAATTATTTAGTATACCTATATTTATTTATGACCATATTAACACACTCTTCCAAATAATTCACTTATTTATTTTGGTCAAAATAGATTTAACCTACCTTTGATACAAATATTCTTATTTCATAATAGAGAAGTTAGATTTTTTTAAATAAATGCTAATTAGTTAAAACTTTTATTTTATGGAAAAATGTAGACCCAATGCACAAAAATATCACTTATATTGCACCTAACACTTTGGAATTTCATTAAATGCAGTATTTATATTCCTAAATTCTTAAACCATGTTATTGTGATACTATAAAGATTTATTAACTTTTAACGCTTAAACATAAGCGGTAACACTATAAATATTATTTCTTTCGTTGACTATACTTTGACAGATACATAACCTGAAAAGCCTTAAATGCCAAATTTTCAAAAGACTGCGTTCCGTACTTGGTCACGTGGTGGGACTTTGAGGTGTGGAGCATAGTACCTCTAGTAGCAGAGCCAGGCTCAAAATATATACTTTGCTGTCAGATATTAACCAAGAAACTTTGAAGTTTCTTGGTTAATTAAATTTAATTGCCACACCCTGTAGGTAATGGGAACGATATATGGGGCATTTTTTTTTTGCTTTGGCTTTTTAGCCAGTCACTCTTTTTGTAATTTTAATTATAAGGCATTTAATTTAGAACATTTGGTACTTTAAATTTTGAAGCTTTATACGAAATATGAGATTAAATTTTAAATATTTGTTTTTAAATTGTGTTAGGTATAAGTTTTCATTTTAGAATTCGATACACTCTTTATTTTGTTCATTATGCTATAGAAATTTATGATTCTCATCTGGCTGACCATTTGAGGGGTCGTTATAGAAAAAAACAAATAAAAAAGATTTGGTACAGTTCCTATTCTTAAAATTAAACATTAAAAAGAGCGTGTAGAAAATCTAGATAAGACTGTAGATTTTAGACAGTTACGGTTTTGCTGTTTAAAGAGAATAGTTGAATTCTTGAATTGTTTTAAGGGAGTGAATTTAACTCTTGAATAACCAAGTTCATTGTTAAAATATACACACTGTAAATCCGTTTTTATTCCCTGAGAGTTATAAAATTAATGTTAAGCTGGATGGCTCAGATGGTAGGGCGGTTCGATACTACTAGATTTGGTCGAACTTTTTTTATTATATAAATTTGTTGTTCCTTTGTTAAAAAGTGTTCGGTTGGGTTGGTAGGTTTGGTTGGTTTGTTTTAGATTTATCGTAACATTTATAACAAATCTTAAAATTATGACGTCAGTCGGGACTGAGCCACGGCGTAAAATATAAAATCAGTTGGTGTTATAAACAGTGATGTAATGTATCGAGATACATGTATCTAGATACTGGATCTAGATACATTTTATGTACCTAGATACGTATCGAGATACTTAAAAAAATCAGGATCTACTTTAGTATCTAGATCCTTTTGAAAGTATCTAGATCCTTAGATACAAGATACATTTTATTTTACCCAACCTGATTGCAACTCCACACCGTGTGGGCCACACGGAAAATGAAAATCCAATGGATATACTCTATGGATATCCAGGATATATACCTACATTGGATATTCTTGATATCTCCCGTAAGAGATGAACAATACGAAAACCGTAGTGCTGTGTATAGACTCCCGTACCCTAATCTATAAACTGAACTTTCGTATTGTTCATCTTTTACGGGAGGAAGGAAAGAAGGAAGGAAGGCAATCTATAAATCCGGCTTAACCTTCAACCCACTTTGAAGTGCGAAGTGCATAAAGTAACTCTTAGGCACTAGTGAGTAAAGTTAAACAAAAGCGCTGTAGGTTACCTATAGTTGGCTTTGAAGGCATTTTTCTTCGTTCTGATAATTTTGAATTTGTTCTACAAATTTTGTAGTAAGCTTTCATATGGCGCGTAAATATAAAATTTATTTCCGTTTTTCATGGATATTTCGTCAATTTTATCAAAACAGTTTTATTTATAGTTAACACGCTTGTTTATAAGGTCCAAAAAATTTTTTTTTGTCATTTAATTTTTAAGTTTTTTTAACATAGTATCTGGAAGTAACTTAGATACTTTTTGAATGTATCTGTATCTGTACCCAGATACTTTTGGGAAAATGTATCGGTATCTGTACCCAGATACATCTACCAGAGAGTATCTGTATCGGTACCTAGATACTGAAAAAAATGTATCGGTTACATCTCTGGTTATAAATACTGGTTTAATGTTGATTTTTATTGTATCTATTATAATCTAAGGCCACAAATATCATAATGAGTGGTTAATTATTTAATATTTAATTTAAACTATATTTTATTTTTATTTCATCTTGTTCTTTGTGAACGAAGGATTGAGCTGGACAAACCAAATTACGAATTTATTATAATCATTATTTTACTCGTATGTTTATAATTATTATATTTATATTACATCTACTTTAACATATTATATTGTATACATATTTCTATATAACATGTACAAACTTTATTCTGTACAGTTTATCTTATTATTTATTTATTAATTATTTATTTGATTTTTTATTTAATATTTTGAGACTTCGTTTCAAGTTCTGCATATCAACTGAGTTATTTAGTTAGGGAACTTTGTTGACGGTTTCTTGTAAGGTACACTGAAAAAAAAAATCATGTAAATTTCCGGTAATGGAGATTGGATATTTTGATGCCTTGTTGATAACTGAAATATTCCATTTCATTATTATTTTACATGTTAAATGTAATAGCATAATTGACGTGTAACTCATTTATATTTTTTATGTAAAATAACATTTTTAATGTAATATGTTTTTTATTTGAAATGTATTTTTACATGATAACATTAACATGCCGGTGCGTGCACGCATAGGTGGATACAGCTTTGCTTTTACAGGCGCACCCAATTGCCAATAATTATAATTACCAATTAACCAATTTAGATTGACAAAGAAAGGTTAGCTAGGATTATTAATATGAAGTTTTTGTGACATTGTCTTGTTCTATTATTATTGATAATCATTTTATTTTGCTATATTTAATTTGCACCGACATGTTCTTACTACTTTATTATATTGTATTTGTTATTTATAACTGTACAATTAAATTGCATTACCGTTGTCCACTTCGGTACCATTTGTTATTTATATATTTTATTAATACAACTACCTTTTATTATTGTTGTTTGTGACCCAAGTTATATTATACTTTATGTTTTACACTGTTGTTTGGTGCTGTACATTGATAATTTGTATTTCCTTTTCTAAACTGTCCGAGCCTATTATTTATGTAGGTGAATAATCTTAGCAATATGATAATATAATTGATTATATTCATATTGATTTCTTTGATTTTGTTGTATTATTTATATTTTTGAGATGTGCGATACATATATATGCATATCAGGATTGTATGTGGGTTCTTAAGGTTTTACCTTATTAACTTAAATCAATGATACTTTTCAAATATAACTGTTTTTTTTATATTATTAATATACAGTAGCAATAACATTAACTTTTGTATTAATTGCCTTTATTATTAACCTTTTTCTTAATTTAAAACTTTTTCTAATGCTCGAGTACTTACGTATCCAGAACCGTATTTACAACAAAAAGAGGTTCTAAATTACTAGACGGTCACGTGTTTTTTGTGGTTTTAATATACTTTTCTAATCATAATTAATAATTATTAACAAGCCCCCTTGCCCAAGAATAAAATATGTCTAACGAGGATATTTTAGCATTGATAGAAGATCCCGATACAACGGATTTAGATAAATAGCCATGTAATACCCAAGCTCTAACTGAAGCTTCTATATAGAAGCTTCAGTTATATGGCGGTCTGTGGAAAACAACATTTATTTTTTATGTAATTTGAAATGCAGAATATATTTTTTCGACAAATCAAACGACACCTAAAAATACTGCATCTAATAACAATGTAAGGTAAATAAATTTGACTTACCAACAGGTGTTAGTTCATCCACTGCGACTTCGTATGGAAGTCCCGTGAAAAGTGGCGCATGGTCATTTACGTCTTCCACGTAAACCGTGACGGATAGCGAGGATGTAATCTGCATACAAAAGGAAAATCAGTGAAACGAAATCCGGTCAAATTTTTCTTATCTTTTATAAACACTGCATGAGCATCGCTGCTTCTACACATAATGTTAGTTTAATTGAGCTCGCGGGACCGTTGTTCCGTTGCATAATTCGGGGGACCCATTTAAAAAATTTTCAAAAAAAATCAATACTGGTCGATTTATTTGTCAATTACGCACATTTTGATGTACAATTTTCATATTTTCCGCCATTTTTGTAGATTCTCTGACGTAATCACAGATGGGCACGAGTACTTATAAAAGTATTCGTAAAATTTTAAGTAAGAGTACTTACAATATTTACTCTTAAGTACATTTGTAAAGAGAGGTTACGGTTACGAGTAGTAATCGTGAAAACACGAGTAAAGAGTACGAGTACTTTTGAAAAAAAAATGTTAGTTAATATAATTGACAATTCCACTCCTGTCAATTTAAACCTATTAAAAACTGTCAAAAATACGGTTTGCTGACGGATAAAAAAGAAGAAGCAGAAATGCAAGTTAACAAAATTTTGCGACATTTTTTCTATTCACATTTTCCATAGTAACCGAGAAATGCCAAAACTGATAGCATAATCTGATTATAGACTCTTTTGGTAACACAAAAATGTATTTATCAAAATCCCAGCTGATCCTTTATTAAAGTTTTGCATATTTCTTAGTATTTTAAAATTGTTTATGCCATTTCGATAAAATACTCTAGTACCATTATCAAATGTTTTTAAAAATTTGGCAGATACATGACTGAAATATGGATAAATTACATTATAAATACAAAATAATGTAAAATACAGTTTGCAATTTCTTATTTATTGTTTTAAGGTACCTAATACAAAGCTAATAATTAACTAAAGATTCCTTGAAGCAAAATCGATTACTGCTTGCCTTAAATTTTCAGTAAAACTTTACTTTTTTTAACATGGAAAAAGTATTTTTAAATTCTTCAGTCTATGTACAAACATGCTTCTTTCATCTAGCGATATCCCCTAGAAAGGAAGAGCATATCAAAACTTTAGTTTGTTCGTCCGTCCTCTTCCCTTAATAATTTTTTATGCCCTTTATATCTTGCCATTTTGCAGATAAAGCACATACATTCTTGGCTGTCGCCAAATTCTCTAGCAATTTCTAAATTTTGAAAATTTGGCAATTGTGGCTATGCAAAAATACCGTTTTTACCATATTGAAGTAGGTAATTTTGAATTACTTAAGTTACTGGGGAGTAAAGTAATTTAAATGATACAGTTTATTATTTTGATTAATTTTATTAAAATTGTACAGGTAGTTTTAGTAAAAAGTTTGCAAAACTTTAAAATTGGGATTTAAAAAAATACATGTTAGTGTTACCAAAAGAGTCTATAATCAGAATATACTATCAGTTTTGGTTGGTCCTATACTTAAGTTTTGACCATCGTGTATAATATATTATTTTATACTATGTATTATAATTTAAAACAGACTTCAAAACAAAATGTTTTGATGCATACGATATTTTGGCAAAAGTCATCAATATAATAATCGAAAATACTCTTATATATTACTCGTGAAGTACGAGTAATAAGTATTTTAAATAAAAAATTTGAAATACGAGTAAAAGTACTCGTGTAGGGTTGGGAAAATTTCACTTTTTGCTTGTACTTGAAATTTCACTTGAAATTTTCACGACATTTATGAAATTTATGAAATTTTTTGAAACTTTCGACAAATATCAATCACTTTAAGTGTAATATATTAATATTGAAATAAGCCCACTCGGTGACCATGGCAAATTGCCTCTCTTACCTCCTACCCCTCTGTGGGCCCCTGCACCAATAATATAAATAGTAAAAACCTATGTTTACCACAAATTTCTTGAGATTTCCTTTTAAAATATTTTTAAAATTACTAAAACTAAGAGAAATATAGCACTTTTTGGTAACATAATGAGACTGTGCCACTTTCATTGTTTTATATTTATATATATATATATATATATATATATATTTATTATTTTTATATATTTTGCTAAAATTTTACAAAAATTGCCATAGGCATTTTTTATCCGTTTTCCGATGCAATTATAGCAAAAGTAAAAGTTAAATTATTCATGACTTTTAAAAAAATTTTAAAGTCTGATTTAATTTACAAATTAAATTGGTAACTGAATTAAATTATTTAAATTAATTTATGCATATAAGTAACAATAATTACTCATAGTGTATTCAAATCCAAGCCGAACTAAACAAAAACGCCCAGACGCTTAATAACTCGTTCTTATTGGTCGATTCGGAATCTGTTGTAAATTATTATTAAAGGTCCCAGGGGAGGCCGCATGTGAAATTTATGCGAAATTTTCAGTAAATTGCGAAACTTTCAATGAAATTTCTGAAAGTTTCACTGGGAATGTTGAAATTTTCGAATTGAAAATTTCATTTGAAATTTCCTATTAAATGAAATATTTCAAGTTTGAAACTTTCAAAGTTGAAATTTTCATTTGAAAATTTCAACTGTCCCAACCCTATGTACTTAGCTCTGCGTGATGGGCAATTTTTTTAAATTGTAACCCCTCTTTTTTTTGTAGATTCAAATAGATTTTTTAATGAATTTTTTCCACACTTTTGCCAGTCACTGTACATTGACACAAATTCCAGTAAAATGAATGAATCTCGTTTATGATTATCCACATTGATCGAATAATTAAACAGTTATAAAGTTATTATATAAAAACAATACATTCTCAAGAGGAGTATGACGTTTCGCATCTGTTATTTTGATGTATAAAAAATTGCGCATGTAAAAAACGGTCCAGCAACTGGTTCTACGATGCATCTTGCTCCTTTAACATCTGTATAATAAAACAGTTACTAAAATGACTCGTGCCTGATGCAATGTTGAGTGACTGATATGCACGATTTATGCTGCAAATATTTTTAAGCGTTATCAAGTTTAACTGTTGATATAGTTATATTTTATTCACAAAAACGGTTTTAATTGTTTTTCTAAATATTCTCCTGAAGATCTGTATACTTTTTCCTATGTATACATCAATATTCCACACCGATTGAGCTATATTCAAAACATTTTAAAGAACTTACTCATCTTTGAAGAACTTGCCCATCTTAAAAGACCCTCATCGTCGATTTCTGTTTGAAATCAAGTTCATATTTATATACGAGGTGTGTTCAGAAAATTTGCTTTATTATGTTGGTATACACGCCCCAGAAGTATGATAAAAACTTTAGCTGTTTTCATTGTTTACTTTGTCTGTGGCAGCCGCTAAGGTTAGACGTGTTTTATGAGCTCGGAGATTTTTCGTTCGTTAAAAGAAATGGATCAAAGAATTTGTATCCAATTTTGCTTAAAAAATGAAATAAATTTTGTGAAATGTTAACAAAGGCCTATAATAAGTCTGCTATAAGTAAAACAAAAGTTTAGAAGTGGTTTAAGAGTTTCCAAGATGGCCGTGAAGACGTTGAAGATGACGATCGCCCCGAACACACAAGCACATTAACAACCGATAAAAACATGGAAAAAGTGGAAGAAATGGTTATAAACCATCAGAGAAGTAGCTGATGATGTTGGTATATCGATTGGCTCATCCCATGAAATTTTTGTAATGATGTAATGATTTTTGAAATGATGCCCCAGCCTCCATATTCGCCAGACATGCCTCTGTCTGACTTTTTCCTATTCCCAAAAATAAAGAGAACCTTAAAGGGACGAATAAATAAATATTTGTTTCAAAAAACGAAAATTCCCGATATTTTCTGAACACACCTCGTATACTTGACTTCTAATCTGTGTATAATGTACTTTTTGACTATTTCTTTGCATCAATCGACAATAGCTTTTTTACTGTATACTTATCTGTAGTTGCATGGTTGGGAAATACATCTTTAAGTATAGGTGGTTAAAACTATTTAAAAAATATATGCAGTTTACATTGCTATATTATAATTGCCTGTAGGGAAATTGGTTAACTTTAAACAATTTAGACTGGCTGTTACAGTAGTGAATGTAATATCAAGAAAATATGATTTTTTTCAACCAGATATTGCTAACTGCTATTTGCAATAACAGACCAATATCCATTTAAATATATAATAGTTAAATTTGTAATATTATAATTGTAACTAAATAAAAATAGTTTTTACAAAAACTGACACTTTAGTCACGGGCTGAAGTTAGCAACAGGTTTTTAGTCACGTTCTGTAAGTAAGTTTTAAGTTGGTTGACAGTTGTCAAATGTCATACAAAATTAAAATAAAGTGCCTTTCTTGTAAAATAATAATAAATGTGAAAATTATTTTATTATCTCAATACAAAAATACAAAAGTATTAAATAGTTTATTGACGCCAATATTTGAAAACATATGAACGTTTGTACGTTTGTAGTACAGTAAACTAGATCTAACTGATAAAGCGTTAAAAATTTTGCGTACAGTGCCCATAAAACATTCTCTTCTCTTTTACTGCTTCTATATCGATTGTTTGTCTATTTTCAAACGATAAATTTAGATTTACACAGAAAAATTTCAGATTTTATCGCCGGTAGATTCCAAAGTTAGAAACTCTAACGGGAATTCCAATAAGAATTTTTACTACTTTGTAAAAATATTTTGCAATTATAGTAATAAAAAAATCAAAGGATAAAATCATTTTTTAGATAATATTAACTATTTGTCGTAGAAAAAGTATAATATGCAACTCGTTTATAAACTTAATTAATAATAATAAAATACAATAAACGAACTACAATTAAATATACTCGGAAATACCTACAAATTTATCCTTACTTATTCAGTTCATAAGGACATTCCTCAATTAAAAAGTCTTTCAGTTTTCTTTAAAAAACAATATAATTTTTTGTTTCCTTAATATAATTTGGCAAATTGTTAAACATTTTGATGCCAGAAAAATAGGGTGACTTTTTAAACAAAGAAGTTGTGTGTCTCGGAACACATAATCTTGAGCCACTTCTTGTGGAATATGAGTGAAAATTACTATTAGTTGGGAATTTTCCCAAGTTATTAAAAACAAACTTCATAATACTATATATATAAATTCCATACAGTGTTAGTAAATTTTTATTTATAAAAGTATCTCTACAGGAAGCCCTACCAGGTAGGTTAAACATTATTCGAATTGCGCGCTTTTGCACAATAAATACTACATTTGCTGATGTTCCTCTTCCCACAAAAAATTATATTATAAAATATATGCAAGAAAAAAGTCCATAATAAGCATTTAAGAGTGATGTATAAGATAGTTTAGTGTCATTAGGGCATAGTTTGAAGCGCTTAGTTTTTGGCAAAGGTTATAACCTGATATATCTATATGGTTCTCCCAGTTTATCTGAGCATCCACTATTAGCCCCAAAAATTTCAACTTTTTCGATATGTTTAAATAAAGGTTATTAAGGTTACTCAAGCCAATTAAACGGAGAGAGAAGTATACGCTAAAGAAGTATCGCTAGTAGCGCCACCACTCGGCTGTTGTCATCGTAACAAAAGTACAACTTTTAACAATTAGCTGTCAAACGCTGTTTTTGAGAATAAAGCCGGAAAATGTTAAAAAATATCGAAAAGAAAACCGTGGATCGATTTGTTGTGTTGTTGGGTGTATTTCGAGAGGAAATCCTGGGTTGAGTTTTTACCGGTTTTTAATAAACAGTGTTAATCTGAATGAAGAAATAAATTGCATACAGTCTCTGTAAATATAAATTGTACCTATTAGATACAATAAAATTTTAGTAGTAATTAACGTAAAAAGTGTAAACATTTCAATTCAGTAAAAATCGTCAAACAAATAAGTCGTCTAAATTTAAACAGCATTTATCATTATTAAAAGCGTTGAATAAGAATTCTTTAAAGTATCCACTCAACGGTAAAATACCATTATATTATGTATTATATATAATATTATGTTGCCATGAATTCGTAGGTATATTTTGTTGTTTAAAATGCAGTTGTCGGCGTTTTTTAGAAAACTCAAATATAAAAATGATTGATTTTATGGTTATGTTTGTGCAAAAATTATTTTTTACTAATTTCTTAAAAATTTCCAAACTTAAATATAAATTATATTAGGTAAAGTTATCATTAGTTAATTCTGCACCAACAAATGTACTTACCGAATTGGATCCTTTGGCAAAACATGAAAATGCAACTATTTAGTTCTTGAATTGTATTTACAATTAAAAACACAATAATTCACCATGATCCCTTTGATAAAATACACACACTAACGTAACTATATAAGCATTTAAGCGTTGAGTTTCTTAATCAATGATATAAGAAATAATTAATCAAAATCGAGTAGGTACTAAAAAGTTTTTTATTTTTTCCTTGCAACGTAAAACACAAATTACGTTCGCGATTTAGCTGTGCAATTGAACAAAATTTGTCGAGTGAGACTTCTGCCTTCCTCTCTTTTGTAAAAAAAAACTACCTATTTATTTAAAAATGATGTATAATCGGTGCTTTAAATTTATTGTTGACAATTCTTAAATTCACGCAATGCATTCGAAGTCCACCAGATGGCGCCCGCGTTGCGAAAACCCGATACTTCTTTAGCGTATACCTATTCAGTTTTTTCAGAATTTAAAAAAGACGTGACTTAAATTGCGTTTATCAAACTTGATACATAATATGCTATTTACACTCACCGTATCCTCTCCATCGTTATAATCGCAGCTGATCTTGAATTTCAGAACATTTCTCGGATTGTCGGTGTCCACTACATCTTCAAGCGATTTGGCGAGCAATAGAGATACCGTTGTTTCGTTGAAGTCTCGGTATGTAAAGTAATAAACATCCTGAGCCTAAAATTTATTTTTTTGATTAAATTGAGAAACCTTCAAAAGTAGATTATAAGGTCAAGAATGGTTTTTAATGTGGTGCATATTAATATCCCACAAATATAAGTTTTAATTTATTAATTGATTAAATTATGCATTTGGCATATCGTCCTTAACATTTATAATCAAACAAGATTTTTATAGTTCCTGTTGCATAATTTCTTTCTAATAGTTAAATAATATTTTCCATTTACATAAACTACATTTTTTTACCTTGTCGATCGGTTGGAGATAAAGCTGGTTCCTTGGAAAAATATTTATTTTAAGAACTTCTTCTCCAACCTTCAGGCTTTCCGGTACCCGGACAAATCTGAGGTATTCTCCAGGTGGATAAAACTGGCAACCTGAAATTAATGACATGACATTACCTATCTATTAAAATTAAAAAAATGATATGTAAAAGCTAATTTTTCTTAATTCAACGTATGCAAAATTCTTGCATAAGGTATATATTTGGAATAAGTGGAAGAAATCACATTTCTCACAAACTTGCAGACTTAAACTGGCTAAACATGGACAATTGGTTAAAACACAAAACACTATGTTTTTATCATCAAATACTAAAGTCAAAATCCCCTAGCTATCTCTATGATAAAATTACTTTTCGGGCAGATATCCATAACATTAATATTAGAAAGAAAGATTTATTAACAATTCCATATCATATAGAGTATACTCTCTTAAAATGAATTAGTTAGTTAGTCACTAATAATTTATTAAATTCTAATGAATGAAATATTTGACTATTTAGTCAAATTAGTATATTATCATAACCAATGTGGCTATCAGTCACTCTTATAAAAATCAATTTTATTTGTCAATAAATATTGTTCATAATATTTTAAAGTTGATTATATTATTTGTGTTGCTGTTTTGAGCTAAACTTTTTGCATCTTTGTTTGTTTTTAGGGGCCATTTAACCATGGAGCCTATATGCATTTAATTCAAATAATATTTTGTTGTTGGCCGCAAACGATTAAAGAAATTAGATACTTTTAACTCTCAGAAATAGTCAAAGATGGTGACTAATCTTAAATTAGTCAAACTTTAAATATTTACGTAGTAAAAAATAACTATTTAAAAGTGAAAACGACTATTTTATTAGTAAAAAATGCTGGTACTAATTCAAATAGTATAATTTTGACTATTTCATTTTAAGAGAATAGATCAACATTATTTGAAAGGTCATTTAGTTTTACAATTGATAAGCTTTATAACTGTTTACCTAATCATTTTAAAACCTTAAATTACGTAAAATATAACAAGGAACTTTTTATTTTTTTGCGGGATATTTAGAATGTACTTGTTATCATTTTATTCGTCTTCATATTCCTGTTTTGGTTTATTCTTGTCTATGACAACGTTTAGTTTTATATTGATTTAGATTAGAAGTTTATAATCCATTTAAGTCTATCTTTCTAAATTATTTTAAACAAAATGTCACTTCCGGTTTAACCAGAAGTGGCATCAACTTTGTTATTTCAAATAGAACACCCTATATGTTTTTAAATTATGAGTACTATACCATGTCACTTTTGCTATACCTAAAGTGAATAGTTTACGAGTTGTTAATTTTTTTTGTTAAAATTTGAAAAATGGTGGTCAATAATAATAATAATAATAATAATAGATTTATTTGTTGTTAGGATATACATTTTATAGTACTTATGTATGCATTTTCACAACAAAAGGGTCTAAATAGCCTATAACTTTTTTGTTATTAGGTTTGCGAATTTTTGGAATTTTAAAACATTGTTTAAAAGATTTCTGGTCAATTCTTTAACATATTTTAACAAATTACCAGAGAAAACCCAGGGCAAATTAGGCTAATTTGAAAAGTTAATAACTTTTTTATTTCAAATGTAACACTACTTTAGTATGGGAAATAGTTATCAATCGAAAGGTTTTTTACTTTACTAACTTAATTTATTAACGCATAATAAGTAAAAAAATTCTAACTCTAAAACGCCTTTACCAATATTTATGAAATTTTGTATAAAAATACTTCAACTTATATCTCAGTTTACGTGTTCAAGGGTTTTTCGAAGAAATCTCCTTAAAGCCCTTTTATTTAATAATAAAAATCGCTCAAAAAAAACTTTTATAGGGAAATTTTTTTTTAGTAAATAAAAATTATTTTGTGAAATACCGTATTTTTTAGTATACCCTGAAAATTTTGTAAAAATCAAACGAACAGTAACGAAAATACAGCGTTTCAAAGTCGTCAAAAATGACCATTTTTCAGCAATACGTCACCTGAGTATTGATTTGTTCTATGTCCAATATGTTATAATCGAGATAAACGGGTTTGAAACTTTTACATTAAATATCTTATTTGTTTTTTAATGAAAACTTAATTAAACATTAATAACAATATTCTTGTTTGGCCTTTAATTAGTTCTATTGAGCAACTCTTACCTCAACTTTGGATTTATGCCTCAATATTGGAAAAAACGTTTTGGAGATAAAACAAAAAGTGCACTGAAAAAACAAATCTGTTTTATCAACCAATAAATTTTTTGTTGCAATTGTTTTTGTTGGTCCTAATAAAAAAATTGTTAACCCAAGTAAAGTGTTTAATACATTAGTATTTGCAACAAAAATGAATTTGTTGGAAAGAATTAGTTTACCCTACTGACAATATGCGTCGCCGCTAATAGGTATCCTTAAGTAAACATAACAAATATGTTTTTGTTGTCAATTTTCGACTTGGTGCCATGGTTAAAGTTAAGTCTTGGTGTCATAGTGATTGAATAATAAAAAAATAATTTGTCACTGTCAAAAAATTTTTGTGCAAATGCTAGAGGAAGCAGGTTCGCGTTAATTAATTTTTGTGCATTGGGCGTTATGGATGAAGGAGTAAACCAAATATTAACCGAGTGGGGATTTTCTTCATTAAAAAATACTTTTAAAGGTACCAAAATATTTTTTGTTAAAAAAATCAAACAATATTAACCTATACCTACACAATATTGTTAATGCAACTCTTTTTACATACTGAAAGAGGTGCTTTAACAATATTGTGTAGGCATAGGTTAATATTGTTTAAGTTCTTTTCACAAAAATTATTTTTTGGTGATTAAAAGAACTACCAAATGTTATAACAACAAAGCAACAATGTTGTAGTTACTCATTACCATAGCTTTTCCAACAAATAGATTTATAATGAAAACAAATGCAAAAAGTTATAGAAACAAATAAATTATTACCTAAAACAAATGTAAACTGTTTTAACAACAAAATATTATTGTATGAGATATCAATAATATTAGTTACTTTAAACAAGACACCATAGTTTTGTCAACAAAAAATATTAGTTACAGTAACATATTATGTCTCAACAAAAAAAAATTGTTGTTGTAACAAAGATTTTAGTTGAGGCTATAGCTACAAATAAAATTTGTTGGCGCAACTTTTTTTTAGTTGCTTAAACAAATTATTTTTTTCAGTGTGCTATTTTTGGATTTTAGAAACAAAATGTTGGACATATAACAAAGTTTTGGGACATGAAACAAAACTGAATTAAAAAACACTTTATTTAATAATGAGTTACTTTAATAATAATAATTATAATTATTGTCAAAATACAATGTCATATATATATATATATTTTGCTCTATGTGTTTGTAAAAATCTGAACATAATTAGTATTTGTTTGTGCTATATCCATTTTATAACTGTTTTGTGCTATCTCCAAAAGCTTCCTTATAAGTATAAAATTGCTTTGTTCTATATCCACTTTAGCCAGTACACGTTTTTTTTCACCTATTTACATGTATATATACATGTAAATAGGTGAAAAAAACGTGTGGCTAAAGTGGATATAGAACAAAGCAATTTTATACTTATAAGGAAGCTTTTGGAGATAGCACAAAACAGTTATAAAATGGATATAGCACAAACAAATACTAATTATGTTCAGATTTTTACAAACACATAGAGCAAAATAAAGCCTGTAAGCCAAATTTTGGAGATAAAGTAAACCAATTTTATACTAAACTCGGATTTAGACTAACCTAAACTAAAAACTGACACAATTTTATCAAAATACTATTATGGAGATGGAACAAACCAACTTTAACTTTCCGAAAATGCATAAACCTCAAAACGGTAAAAACCCCTTTTTGATTATATTATATAATACCGACTTTAAAGCGCTGTATCTTCGTTACTGTTCGTTTGATTTGGCCAAATTTTTTAGGGTATACTAATAAAAATACGGTCTTAAACAGCATATTTTTTATTTAGTTAAAAAAATTCCCCAAAAGTTATTTTTTGATCGTTTTTTTATTATTAAATAAAAAAAAGTTAGAATTTTTTTACTTAATATGCGTTATTTTGACGGGTAGTGTATTTGATTATGTAAAAACGGGTGCTACTTACTTACTAAAATAAAAAAGTTATTAACTTTTCAAGTTAGCCTAATTTGCCCTGGATTTTCTCAGGTTATTTGTTAAAAAATGTTAAAGAATTGACAGGGAATCTTTTAAAAAATGATTTAAGATCCCAAAAATTTCGCAAACCTAATAACAAAAAAGTTATAGGGTATTTTTGATTGACGCGCATTTCTCAAATTTTAAGGAAAAAAATTAATAACTCGAAAACTATTCACTTTTGGTATAGCACATGTTATAACATATAGTATTATATATATATATATATAGTATTCATAATGTAATATATCCGGTGGTCTATATTGGAAATAACAAAGTAAAACCATTTTGTTTAAAATATTATAAAAAATTGATTTAAATAGATTATTAACGCTTTTAAAATTTCAAATCGATATCTTTTTCCCTTCCCCATAAACTTCTAATGAACCACGAATATGAAACACCCTGTATATATGATAACATAATACACAAAATTTACATTTAATGACATTATTTTTAAGTTTTATTAAAATGTCGTTTTTGTGAAAAATATTAATTTTGATGAATAAGTGTTTTTAAGATATTTTAAACCAACACTTTTTTATTTCAGTTTTACTGTAAAAATGTGTTTTTTTTAAACGTTTTTAAGGCGATTATATCTATAAAATCAGTTTTAAAATACATTTTTATTTTATTTGTACTACAAAAAAATGGTTTTGTTTAATGACAAATTATATAGGTAATATTTCATGATGAAACTGCCAAAAGCATTTTCACACAATTTCATTATAACTTATGTAAAGTATGAAAGATTGTAAACAAAAGACAATCATCGTTAGTAAAAGTATTTTGAAACAAACGCACTATTGTCTTTAGAATTGATAATTAGGTACTTTTGCTAAAAATAATTAAAATATAAAAATAATTTTGGTAGCTGTTTTGTAACCTGTTAATTTTTATCTGGTAATTTAAATTTAACTGTTTGCTATTTATAAATTGTTTTTTGAATATATCATAATTTTCTAATCATACAGTTTTTAGTACTGAAGCTAAATAAAATCGTTTAAAAATATATAAAATAAGTAATAAGTATACAATAATTAACTCCAGTTCAATGATAAATTTTTCGTACTTGTTTTACTCTTATAACTAGTTTGATATTTATCTAGATTGCAATTAAGGGAAAGTAGAACAATTAAATGAAGTTTACATCAGGATACAAAATTATTTATTAGATATATATAATTAAAGACGCCTTGCATATAGGAAATAATATCAAAATTAGATCAACGCAAAATAAATGTTCAAAGTGATAATTATTATTATCATAGAAAACAAAAAAAGTATCCTAGCGCCCAAAGGGTTGTGTTAGTTTGCCCCAAAAGTAAAAAAGAACCAATACTAAATTTTCTGCACAAACAGCTTTGAGAACGCAGTGAAAACTTTCTAAAATCTTGTTGCGGTAATCTAGATTTCCAGTACTATTTATTCCTTAAAATCGAAATTTAATTGCCAAAAAAACATCTTTTAATATCCCTTTATTTATTTCACTCATGCTTGAATGGAAAGTTCAATTGTTCGTAAAACATGCGAGCGCTGTTTTTTTTTCAGTATCATTGGCATTGTTGATTGTATCAATCAAACATATCAAATCGTTAAAATGTCGTTTGCATTGTTGAAAATTTGGATCATGGGAACAGAGTTTTTTATACACATAATGGAGTGTTAAACACGAGTCAAACGTTGCATCCTCTATTTATACAGGGCATTCAATTAAAAAGTAGCCATCCTTAATAACTTTTGAGTTAAAGTAAATATGATCTTGAGCAAAAATAGGTCTATCATGTATTGAAAGACCAAATTTACTAACCAACAGTTCACTTCTGTATTAAACAATATTATTTTCTATCAATTTTTGCAAAAAATTTCAACTATCATTTTTTAAATAGTAAAATCAATTTACTATACGGACATTTATGATTTAGTAATATTGGTGTTGTAATTTTTACTAAAATTGTATAATATAAAATAGTATTTTGTATTACAATCTTAATATTGTATTGACGAATATATAATGTTAATATTTAATGTTACCCTAAAAATTTGTTAAAGTAAATTTTACTATATTTTTTTTTACTATCTAAAATTTACTATACATTTCTCTCCGTGCATAATCATAATCATATACATTTTGCCCTACTCTGGTTTGATACATAAATATAAATATTTTAACTAAAACGTGTAACAACTTTGCTAAAGGTAAATTGAAACGCAAAATTGTGGACGACCAGTAAATAGCAACATAGAGGGTTTAAGTTTAATAAGAATATTAATATTACATAATCAAACACAAAAATTACAATACCGATGTAGTGAAGTAAAATAAATTGGGTTAAGAAATACATTTGTTAAACCGCAATAGTCGATGTTTAAAAGGGAATCGTAGAAAGTTTTCATACTTTCAGAAGCCAAATAAGAACAAAACTACATCTAGTAAAATAATTGGATTGTAAAATAGCCAAAAGTGATGCCGATTGCAGTGCGTTTCCCAATGGATCGCATGCTAAAAAAAATTAGTACAACGAACTGTAACATCGAATATTTTGTTTTCTTTCAAAATTGAACTGAATTTTTATTTTAACATGACACAAACAAGATTTTCACAGGGGATTAAAAAACATTTTCGTTTCAATCTTGATTGACAAGACTCGTGTTTTGATGCAATATCTGTCTTGGTAAATTAGCTGTTCATTCAGCTATTTATTGCATGTTAACATGATTTGATCATTTTAAAATTACATACGATACAAAAACAAAATAGGAAACAGTTTCATAAACAGGCGATTTTTACAAACACCACTTCCTGGCAATAACTTGAGCAAAACAATGCAAGCGTTTCGTAAGAAGCACACATGCTTATAAAAAGATTTAATCTCTATAAATCTGTTCGTATAATTCAATTTTTAACTGTCTAATTTACATTTAACACAGATCTGTTAAATATTAATTTATTTACTGAATTTACTGAATTTCACTTATATTAATAGGTATAGAAAATGCTGGTGTAGATATCGAAAGTTATTGAATATTAATTTGAATGTGGTTAAAAACTTATTTTAATTTAAAAAATTATATTTTTAACTTTTTAAAATAATTTAAAAAATAAAAAATACTCACCATTTGACGTTTGCAGAAGAGCAATCACCAAAACCGCTATGCAAGTTGGGATCATATTTTTCGCTTCATTTGCCTTGAGTTGATCATGCTAAGTATTTTGATGAATGAGATGTCTGTAAAAATATTAGCTATTAGTTTTTGAAATAAATATTTTAAACAAAATGCCACATTTTTTAATTCTGTTTAAAATTCTGAGTAAAATTACTATACCATGTCCTATAACTAAAGTGAATTGTTTTCGAGTTATTAATTTTTTTTCGTGAAAATTTGACAAATGCGCATAAATCTTAAATAGCCTATAACTTTTTTGATATTTGGTTTGCGGATATTGCGGTGAAATTTATGGAATTTTAAAATATTTTTTAAAAAATTTTATGTCAATTCTTTAACTTGTTTAACAAATTACCTGAGAAAACCAAGGGCAAATTAGGGCAACTTGAAATGTTAATAACTTTTTTACTTTAAATGCAATGTTTTAACATAATCAAATAGTAAATTAAAAACATTTTAATTCAAGTTGCTATTCCTTATATCTAAAGGTAATAATTTCAGATATATTTAACAATTTCTAAATTTTTTAATAATATTTTGTATCAAGAAACCTGTGACAGTCAACTCACTGTATCTATGGTAACCTTCGTGTCATTGTTCAAAATTTAATGGCGTCAATTTTTCAGTTTGTTATAAACAATTTGTTGACTAATTGAGTGTTAAGTAAACAATATTACTGATACAAAATAGCAGTCAGTAACTTATAAAATACATTTTAAAAGTTATACAAACAGTATACGCTAAAGTTGCCAACAGTCTGAAAGTAGTTTCCGCCGAAGGCAAAATGAAAATCCGCTAAAAATCCGCCAGATTTAAAATTATTTTTGGAATAATAAAAAAATATATTGTATTTTCTTATTCTTTTTAGATACTTAAAATTATTTTCCTCCCACAAAAATTTGCAGTCATATTACGATGTAATACTTTTTAATTATTAATTGTTAAAAAAATAAACATTTTTTTAGTCATTGGGTATACTTGTTGGACATTCTGTTAAAATTTTTATCTTTCATCTCCTCTCCTACACACACTTTAATGGGATGTCTTTAACTAGAGATATAACTAGATTTGGCGAAACTCGCAGAAATAAGTTATTTCAAATAACCTAGCAAAACTTATTAATGTTTGACATTTGACACTAGGAATTGTCGGTAAAACAGTGTGCATTAAGATAGTTTATCTTATTGCGCACTGTTTTACCGACAATTTCATTCGAAGTGTCAAATGTCAAACATTAATAAGTTTCGCCAACTCTTTAGAAACTAAGAACTAAGTTATATTTTTTTAATACTTTTTTAGCGGTTTTTGCAACTGTTATCCGCCAGAAGTTTTAATACTTTCCGCTAAAAAATCCGCTATCCGCTAAAACCATTTTTTATCCGTCAAGTCAATTTTTTTTCCGCCATATTTGACGGGAAAACCGCCGTGTTGGCAACTCGCTAGTGTTGGCGATTCGCTAGTAGCGCTACCACTCGGCTGTTATCATCGTAACAAAAGTATAGCTTTTAATAATCAGCTTATGTTATAAAAATGGCTCGTGGTAAGGCTACTTCTAAAGAAATTCGAAAAATTGTAATAAAACAGTACCATGAAGGAAAGAGCATGGGAACTATTGGAAAAAATTTAAATTTGGCGAAATCTACTATAAGAAACATTATAAAATGTTATGGGGTAAAAGTACAGGGCAGCCAAGAAAAGTGTCTCCTAGAATGAGGAGGCAGCTCGTAAGGATTTGCAAAAATAATCGAAGATCCACTTTAAGGAAAGTAACGGCGATTTTTAACGCAGAAACCCGGCTAAACATTTCGCGAGAGTGTTGTAGACAGTGGATTCATAAATCCGGACTAAGTTTTTAGGTAAGGTATAAAAAAATTACTAGTTTTTATAAAGAATAAAACAAAAATCTATTTAAATTTTTTAAAATTTTATTATTTATTTTATTAAATGAAAAACCGCTATTAACAAAAGCACAGAAGAAAAACCGTCTAATTTAGTCTAAATTGCACTGGACAGCAGAAGGCTGGGTCAAAGTCGTATTTAGCGATGAATCTAAATTTGACGTGTGTGTAGGTGATTGTAGAAAACGAATTAATCGGGATAAAACTGAAGCATTCCATAAAGACTGTTTAAAAAGGACTGTAAAATTTGCAAAGGGAATAATGATTTGGGGTTGTATGTCTGGAAAGGGTGTGGGGCATATGGAAATAATAAATGGAATAGTTAATGCAAATAAATATCAAGACATTCTACAAAACAGCCTTATTCCCAGTATAGAAGATCTTTATCCCGATGGTAATTTTATCTTTCAACAAGATGGAGCATCAAGCCACACTGCAAAAACAACCAAAAAATGGTTTGAAGCACACACTATTAGAGTTTTGTCATGGCCTTCAAGTAGTCCACACCTCAATATTATTGAAACCTTGTGGCACCGCATGAAAATAAATAATCCTCAAAGACACTGTTCAAAATTTCATGACCATTTTAACACCAAATTAACACCATACGTGGTCTATATCGATACAAACCAAAATTGTGTTAAATATGGTTCGTTGGACCGGTTTCATTCAAATACTAAAACGGTGTTAATTTAACTTTCACAGTATTAAAATAAATTTTACCTGGTGTAAATAGAACTCCTTTTCAGTGTTAAATATTATGTGTTTGTGATCAAATTAAATCATACTACACAGAAAAAAGGAAAAAAAAGGAAACAGGAAGTTCCTTGACGCATTACTAGTATATTACCAGTGGTATTATTCCAGAAAATGTAACCTTCAACTCGCTAGAGATAATGTTTTTAGTGCGTTCCACTAACTTAAAATACTTCAGGTATTGACAGCTGTTTCCACATATTTAAGGTCTCTTTAGTATCGAACAACTTGTAGTGTCACACTAAAGCAAAGGACTACCTGAGTTTATATATTCTTCATGTAAGTCAACAGAGGCGAGATTTAAGAACATCACGTGATCGTCACCGCCTTTGCCGCGATCGGTACACATTTTCAACCATAATTCATGGTGTTATATTAACACCACTTGGTGTTGGATTTTGACACCATTTTAAGATTACTTTTTACACCACAGATATTTTAAACAGTGTAACAGTTGTCAGAAATATGGGAATCTTTTACACGAGATTATTGTAGATCCTTAATGGAATCCATGCCAGCCAGGATAAGAGCTGTTATAAAGGCCAAAGGAGATGTAACGACGTACTAAACCTTCAAATAAGTGATCGTCCGAACTTTAAGTTGCCAAAATAATTTGTTAATTTTGTATTTGTTTTATTTTTTTTTGTTCAATTTTTATTTAAATAAAATCTTTTTTAAGTATATGTGACTTCTACGCGTGTAAAAAATAAAATGTTTTAATTTTAAATTTAAATAATATTTCTTGAATGAGAAATGAGTAAATATTTCTGAAAATTGGTATCGTCCGAACATTAAGTTGTTTGGACTCGTATTTGCCCGCCGCGGCGATTTTTTAATCTAATTAATAAAATTAACTTATTATTTTTATTAAACAACATTTTATGAAAGGGTCCAATCGACCTACGCGACGGTGCTTTTTTAATATTATTTAGTTGCTGATAAGTAGCAGTAGACACATCTTAAAATGTATAATGGGTTTCATAAAATACTCGTATTAAATCGGCAGTAAAGTTCTACTTTACTGCCGATTTCGAATAAAAATTGTTAAAAACCTCTTAAATAATTAACTTTAAGTATAGCTAATAGATACATCATTATTTATTTATATATTTAAGAAATATAACCTCTAAGTTTTGTCAAAATAAATATCGATTTTTCTCAAAAAATAGCATTTTTATTTTAGTATTTTTTTGCGTAGTTTTAAGATTAAAGAAAGAACCTATCCCTAATTTTGTACCGCCTTGTATTTTCGTTGAGAATATAATGGAACAAATTACATTTTATTACCTACCTACGTGTTTTATTATTTTCTTTTAACACATTAAGGCATGAAATAAGTGAATTTTGTACTCTTTCATTGCAGTAATGAAAGTAAATTACGGTATGAGCAGGTAGTGGACTAGAAATGAAGCAAATTCTTTGTAATTTTACTGGGAAGTAAAATGTAATTATAAAATTTAAAAAAATATGTAGAAGTATAGCAGACCATGCTGAACATGCCTGTTATTTTTTATAGTAGCATTACTTCTAATAGGAAAATTCTGAAATTTTAAGACATAAAAATTTAGAAAACAGCTTTTTCTTTCTGCACTAGGATATATATAAAGTAAAATTTAACCAACGAGAAAGTAGGTGTTTCTACGACTACCCTTGCAAAACACCCACAAAGGCTTTTACTTTATCCAATATTTTATTAAACAAAAATTTACAAAAAAATGTTTGCTTGAGAGCTGGGCATTTGCACGGGCAATTCTTGCGGTCGTACATTTAAAAATTAATTGTCTAAATCCAAATCCAAACCTTTGTTGATTATATCGATCCATTTCATCACTGGCAATACCATTAATTTAAAAATGTCAATTATAAGAATATTAATTACGCAGTAAGTAGATCATGCATATTTCCTCTAAATGAAAAATAGGTTTTAGAAACTTTAGTGCAAATAATTAATATTACCTCGAAGTAGTCCGAATGTTTCATAAACTAAGTTTAAATGTCATGATATTAGCGGAAATATTAATTTTATTTAATTTTATTTATTTTAAACGATAAAATAACAAAACTACACTCACAGGCAAAATAATCAATCCACACAAATTTTCGATGAATTTCAATCGCAAATAACTTTTTTATTTGATGTCGGATTTAAAATAATATTAAAGAATATTGTAGATACATTAATGGACCATAGCTCACATTTTAAAAAATTACTAAATAATAGAAGTACGTTTATAATATACAGGTTTAACAAAAATATGTTTTTTACCATAAGTTTAAGACACTCTGTAGAGTGGCAAAACCGTATATTGTTCTAAATTAAGTTATATTTATCAAGTCACATCTATTCTTAACAGTTTTGTTTTTGGTTCACCTCGATATATTTATTTTTGTGGAAAATATGGATTTTT